GGCGCGATGGGTTCAGGGTCCAACTTTTGAATCATGGACTGTTTTGCCCTCGTTGCGATTCCCGCCTCGAAGGATACGGTCCAATCCAACTTTCCCATGCTTGATGACCCTCCTCCCCCCCTAGCCAGTCTTTCTCAGCCACCATCTCGTTTGCCCGAGCGAGCTTCTGCCAAGCCCGGACGGCATTTGAGAAACATCCATGGAGCTCAACCGAATTCTGTGTGGCATGCGCGTCAACCCTGGCCCTCCCAACCCCGGATACCTGCTTGCTGCCATGAGGGTGCCACTGCTCCGAATGGCTCGACAAACCGGTCAAAAAAACATCCCCATCGCCAAATGAGATGTCGAGCTGTAGATATGTAATTATGGGTTCTGATCTGGGGATGTCTGGCTGGATCATCAACTGCCCTGGTCAACCGAGGACACTCATGCTTGCCCGCCTGTCGAGGTCTTCCCAAGGAACCGACGATCGTATTAGCATTTTGCATTCGACTGCCACATGCTCATCTTACTACGCTCCACGCGGGACGATCTTTCACTTGTGTTGCACATCCGACGACGGCTCTGATAACCAATCCATACAAGTGCCCACGCAAACCGTCGCGGCCCGCCATTCGCCCCCGTCCTCCCCGTCTCCTGCGCTTGGGAGGCTTGCTCTTGGCATTGTTTGATACCATTCCCCGGACAAGATTCAGTGCTACGGCCTGCCGGGCCAAGCCACAGGGGCTCGAGCGGGCGGTGTCACATTGCGGCAACCAAGTGAGAAAAAGAGCAATAACTCTCTCAGACAGAACTGAGGGCCCGGAGACGGCGCGGGCAGCAAGCAAGTGTTCAAAGTACCATTGCGCAATAACCTTTTGTGCCAGTCCAGGACGCCGTCGAAATGCAAATGGAAACCCCCACGCCGTTCCAGAAGCCCAATAATCAATCATCACAAGCTGCCGCTTTAAACCTTGATGGCTGACTCGAGCGCCTTCCTCTTCTTCTCGGTGCGCTGCTGGGCCTTGAAGCCCATGATGCCACCACCCCACCTCTTGCGCGACTCCTCCGACTTCTCCAGGTAACCCTCCTTGATGGCAGAGATGAGCTTGGACAGCTCGCTCTTGTCCTCAGACCTGACCTCAGTCATGGCGAGGACGGCAGCAGTCTGGCGCGGCGACAGTCAGCAACACGTTACACAACAAAAATGCTAAAATGAAGGCATCCAAACCAACCTTCTTGTGGACGACAGTGCCGAGCCTGGCCTTGCCCTTGATGATGGCGTACGGGACACCCATCTTGCGGCAGAGAGCAGGCAGGAAAACGACGAGCTCGACGGGGTCGACATCGTTGGGGATCAGCACCAGCGAGGCCTTCTTGTTCTCAATCAGGCCGACAACGTGGTTCAGGCCGTATTTGGCAGTGTAGGGCTTCTTGCTGACGTCCTCCTTCTTCTTGCCCTCCTTGACGGCGGTGGCCTCCTTGAGCAGACGCTCCTTCTTCTCGGCCTTGGTCTCGGGGCGGTACTTGTTGAGGAGCTTGAAGGCCTGGGCGGCCGTGTTCTTGTCCAAGACGTGCTGGAACTGGGCGAGCGCCGGCGGGACCTTCAGGCGGAGGCTGAGGATCTTCTTCTGGCGCTGGAGACGGACATACTCGGGCCACTTGACCATGCGCGACAGGTTGCGCCTGGGCTGGATATCCTGGCCAATGCCGAAGTTGCGGCTGCGCTTCTCAAGAAGAGGGTTCTAGAGGGAGGGGCGATCGGAGAGGCCAACTGGTAAGCATGTCGACGCGGGGGAAGGCAAGAGGGCAGGCACTCCAGGACTAAAATGGGGATGAGGCTATGTAGATGTTCGCACGTACCTTGGGGGTCTTCTTGCTGGCCTTTCCCGAAGAGAAAGGGGCCGCCGCCACCTTCTTACCAGTCTTAGGAGGCTATCATTGAGGAAAGAAGACATCAGTAAATGGATTCCATTGACTGTGGTCTTCCTTGATCTCTAAAGAGCCCGCGAGACGGCATTTCTGCACATCGTCGCGGAGCTCAAGCCAAGTCTTCACCAGCGTCCAAGGACGACTGGCGGAAAACAGCGAGCGCTACACGACCGATGCCGAGAGCTTAATGCTCCTGTTTCTGCAGAGTGCAGTGCGCATTGAGCGCAGGCGAAGCGATAGGCATCAGCTTCTTACCATCTTGATCGTTGTTTGTCGTGTCCCGGGTCGTTACCAAAATGAAGGCTACCGAGAGGGTCTTTGCTGAGGAGGGGACAAGTTTTTTTTTTGCGAAGCAATCGCGTGCACAATAAGCCATAAATCCGTTAGGGTTTGACTGTGGGCTGAAGTGGGGCAGCCTGGCCAGATGCGGGCTGGCTTGGCCCAAGCGTTTTGGGCGGCGGGAAAGTTTATGTAAGCAGGTGGCTTGCTGGTGTGGCGCTAACTGATGACTCTCAGACGAGCACAACAGGAGAAGATGTCAACCTGGATTTGGATTGCTCGGAGAGAATGCGCGCATTCAGGTATCACATGGACTGCTGAACCGCCGTCAAAGCCAAATCTACTAAGGCCCGCTCATTGGTCTCTTGGAGAGGCTTCTGTCACCCAAGAACCGGGCAGGGACTGACAAGATGGCGCCCACACCCTGTGCCATCTGCCAGACCGAGCGCGCACTCATCAAGCGGCCGAAAAACCACCAGAAGTTGTGCAAAAAGTGCTTCATCCAGGTTTTCGAGGACGAAATACACCATACCATCACATCCGCTGGCCTCTTTTTCCCTGGCGAAAAGATTGCTATCGGCGCATCCGGGGGCAAGGACTCCACTGTGCTCGCTTCGGTACTAAAGACGCTGAACGAGCGGCATAGCTATGGCCTCGACCTCGTCCTTCTCAGCGTGGACGAGGGCATCAAAGGCTACCGTGACGACTCGCTCGAGACAGTCAAGCGGAACGCCATGCAGTATGACATGCCCTTGAAGATAGTCGGCTACGACGAGCTGTACGGGTGGACCATGGACCAGGTCGTGGAAACGGTCGGCAAGAAGGGCAACTGCACCTACTGCGGCATCTTTCGGCGGCAGGCCCTCGACCGTGGCGCAAAGGTCCTCGGCATCCAGCACGTCGTGACGGGACACAACGCCGATGACGTTGCTGAGACGGTGCTGATGAACCTGCTCAGGGGCGACCTGGCCCGGCTTTCACGGAGCACCAATATTGTCACCGGCGGCGCGGCGTCCGACATCAAGAGGAGCAAGCCGCTCAAGTATGCGTACGAGAAGGAGATTGTCCTGTACGCCCACCACAAGAAGCTGGACTACTTCACAACAGAGTGCATCTACAGCCCAGAGGCGTTCCGAGGAAGCGCGAGGAGCCTGATCAAGAGCCTGGAGAGGGTGCGGCCCAGCGCTATCCTGGATGTCGTGCGTAGTGGAGAGGACATGGCCAGGCTTGTGCCGGGGGAAGTGTCTGGCTCTTCGTGCGAGTGCAAGGGTAGTGAGCAAGCTAGCGAAGACTACCAGGGGGCCGAATCAGGAGGATGCGGCTCCGCGAGCGGGCAAAGCGGCGGAGGGGAGATGGCGGCGATGGAGGCTAGACTTCGGCAGGCTCAAGATACTACGCCGCTCGAAACCGACATTGGGGCGTTGGAAGCAAAGAAGCGAGCGCAGATGGATGGTGACACTGTCTCGTTGTCATCAAGAACCGCGCCATCCAAGGACAAGGCGCATGGCGGCAAGGTCACGAAGCAGGTGTTGGGTTCATGCGAAAGGTGTGGCTACATGTCCAGCCAGACAATATGCCAGGCTTGCAAGCTGTTGGAGGGGCTGAACAAGAATAGACCCAGGATAGTGATAGATGGTGGCGGCTAAAACAGCGAGGTCTTTGTGGGATTCATCGGCATGCCATATGAAAAGAATTCACTCTCCTTTGTGTAAAGATTTCAGCATTCCGTCCTAGCGGTGAAGAGACTCTTGGTACTCGCGACTTTTCCGCCTGCCGCAAGCAAAACGCAGGTGATGCTACCCGCTGGCTTTGGAAAGCACACCCTGACGTGGTCTCCTCTGCCCTTCTCTTGTCCTTTAGAACATCCGCTTTTCGGCCTAGAAGATGGAGCATAGTGTTAGTAGGTCCAATGGCCTGGCTATCACGAAGAGCCTCGAGGGGGTGGCGCCATACCCTCCACGGGTTGTTCAGCTCGAATCCAGGAGGTGCTATGGGGTTATCGCTTTGTCCGCGCAGTAAGCCCGTGAGTCTCCGGTCACGGTCCATCACTATGGTGTGTGTTAGTAGACAAGCATGCCGCCCGGATATGTAGCCTTCACCAAGGAGCAGCATGGCATACTTTGCTATAGATCTGTTAGCCTAGAGGTCTTGGAAGTGCCTTCACTGGTGGGAGATTGACGGCGACGCACTCTATCCCACTGATCAATTGATCTCCGCGCCCTCTTTCCTCCGTTCTGCATGTACCTCAAGGTGGCCACGCCAGCCCCGGAGACACCAAACATCTGTTCCGCCAATTGGTCAACGATTTGGATGCGGCCATTGAACGAGGGGCGGCTTGCGTACTGCTGTGATGATCGCATAGGGAATCAGGGTCTCGAAAGGGACGGGCATCGTCGCGGTCGACAGCCGAGGTGGCTGTTGTTGTGCGGGCTTCGCTAGGTCTCTTCAACGAGGGTAGGCCGTCGTGTGGGTTGTGCTGGGCGCCGTCGAGGTCTGATGCTCTGCTGCTGGAGTCGGGTCTCGATAGTACAAGCCTCCCGTCACTCGCCAAACCCGGCCGGCCGAGCATCACGCCTCTAATTCTTGCGGCCTTAGGCTGAAAGGGACTGGAGACGCCCGCGCCGATAGGCCCAATGCTTGACGAAGGACCCACAAATTACAGGGGCTCGTCGCTCCATGCGACCGGGACCGTGCCTAGGGACCCACCTGCCCGCATCCACGATCTGGGCACTGGAAGTCGCGACGTCCCACAGCGCCGCAGCTGTTGCGCCAAACAGCTCGATCCGCGACGAGTGACTAGCAACCTCACAACGCTCCGATGAAGTGCTCGAGAAAAGCCGACTCCAACACGTATCTTAACTGAGACAGCATTCCACAGATTTGGGTCAGCCTGGGCTGAGGCCACCTACCCACCCCGTCTGCGTGCGCTTTTTGCGCGTCCGCTCCACGAAGGACTACTTCCGGCTCCGTGACTTCACTCCGGGAGAAACAACAAACGCCACGGAATCCTCTTCGCGTTTCGCTGCGCCCGCCGCTCACTGTAATGCCGACCGATATCTGCCGCGCCACCAGCCGCTGCGACAAGCTTCCCTGAGCGCCCGAAAAACGCCAGTCATAACACACGCCCAACCGATCCTTGCTCGAACCGATCGTTTACATTCGTTTCTTAGCCATGGCAAGCGCGCAGCTCATGGAGGAGGAGCTGCAGCGCAGCGTGATGGTTTTGGAGGGTGCCGATATCCAGCTTGGAGACCCCGAAAGCGACCACGTAGACCCCCGCGCCTCCGAAGGTGCCTCCGATGCCACCATGGCTTCCTTCAACGAGGATTCTGTGCTTGTCGCCAACGGCAGGCAAGACGGGAGTCACATAGTGGACAGCGTCGAGTCCGAGCATGGGGAGGATGCTGGTGGTGATGATGAGGATGGCGATCAGGAGGATGGCGACCAAGAGGATGGTCAAGACCATGAAGACGACGACATCGACGACGACGAAGAAGTTGGCGACGATGAAGAAGAAGAGGCAGATTCGGGTCAAGAAGACAGCGAGATTTCCGATGAGGATAACGATGCCGACGAAGATGTGGAACGCCACTCCGAATCCCCCTCTGCGCGAAGGGGTGGGGCAAGTACCAAGGAGGACGTCGAGGAGGACGTCGAGGAGGACGTCGAGGAGGAAGATGATGACGAAGGTGTCGGTGCGGTTAAAATTAGGCCGGGCGAGACCGACGACGACAGCGAGGACAGTAACCTATCTGACGGGCAGAGCGAGAGCAGCGAAGAATCTGATGGCGAAGCTGCTTGGGAAGAGGCTGTTGAGCAGAACGAAGAAGACGAGGACGAAGAAGAGGAGGACGAGGACGATAACATACCTCTCGGGAACTGCATGTTCTGCAAGGACGGCGACGAGCGGGGGTCGTACCTGAAGTGCAGAAACTGCGGAGAGAACTGTAGGTCAAACTCGGTCAACCCCAGTCTTGTCGTCGTTTTGAAACTAACATTTCCGCTCAAAGCACACGAGGAGTGTGCAAGGAACAACTCGGCTCTCGAGGATACGACCAGTAAGTTTTCAACTCGTATTCTTCCTTCATGCCAATTCGCTTACTCGCGAGAAAGCTGTATCGGGCAACGATGTTGACTTGTTCATCACAGATGCTGGCAAATGGAGATGCCCAGAGTGTGCATCGGTCGACGATGTTATCGAGGCCGATGGTGAGGCCGAGGAGGCAGTGTCCCCGGCCGCCGAGGAATCTCCCTCTGCACCACGAAGCACATCCACCCCAAAGCTCACGCGGGACTTGCTCCCGTCGCAGCGCGGAGCCGTCAAAGCAGACTCCCACTCTGTCTTCAACACCCTGGTGCTTGATGACGACCCTATGGACGGTTCCCGCGTGCTGAGAAAACGCAAGACATCGTCGATTGAGCCCGAGGACAGCATCATGTCGCTGCGCAAGCGCCGTAAGGATACACCTGAAGAACAGAGTCATGCCGAAGATGTCAACGGCGGTACGGAGGCATCTACAAGACCCCATTCCGTGCGCTCCCTGAGGGTCAAGACAGCCGAAGTGACAGTGGCGGCGACTGTGGAAAAGAGGATACGGGGAAGCATCGTGATCAAATTCAAGGCCAGCCCTGCGGAGCTTCGGCGAATCAACGAGCGACCCCCTGTGGTTCCTAAGCGCCGAGGGGGCAGGTCGGGGAGCGGAAGGTCCGCCGGGCGCTCTCGCACATCGCGCAGCGTTGCACATGTCGCACCCCCGCTAACCACACCATTTTCGTCAACCACGTTCTACCAACCCTTCTTCTTCGACAAAGAGACAGAGGAGATGAAGGGAAAGCCTTATGGCGGCATCTTGGACGAAGCCGAGGCCGATACAACTAAGACGTTCCCTCAACCCGAGGACCGCAAACGCTTCGACGAGGCCAAGCAGAAGGCCGAGGAAGAGTGGAGGCAGCGCATCTTGACAATGCAGGCCAACTTGGAGGTGCCAGTGAAGAAGGCCAAGAAGTCGTCTGGTCCCGCGAGCCAGATCGAGTGCATCGATTTCGGCGGCTGGGAGATCGATACCTGGTACGCCGCGCCGTACCCCGAGGAGTACAGCAGAAACAGGGTTCTTTACATCTGCGAGTTCTGCCTCAAGTACATGAACTCGGACTATGTCGCCTGGCGCCACAAGCTCAAGTGCCCAGCGAAGCACCCCCCAGGAGATGAAATCTACCGCCACGGCTCCGTCTCCGTGTTTGAGGTGGATGGCCGCAAGAACCCAGTGTATTGCCAAAATCTTTGTCTTTTGGCAAAGCTTTTTCTCGGCTCCAAGACTCTGTACTATGACGTGGAGCCGTTCCTGTTCTACGTGCTCTGCGAGTACGACGAGTTCGGCTACCATTTCGTTGGGTATTTCTCCAAGGAGAAGCGGGCGAGCAGCCAGAACAACGTCAGCTGCATCCTCACCCTTCCAATACACCAGCGCAAAGGATATGGAAATCTCCTCATCGATTTCTCGTACCTTCTCACTCGCGTCGAGAAGAAGACTGGGTCTCCAGAGAAGCCGCTCTCAGATATGGGCCTGGTCTCTTACCGCAACTACTGGAGACTGGTTCTTTGCCAGTACCTAGCCGGTCATGTCTCCGACAGCAAGTCAGAATCTGCCGGCTTGAGTATCAAGCAGATGTCTGACGACACTGGCTTGACTCCCGACGACGTCATTGCGGCCCTAGAAGGGCTAAGATGTCTCGTTCGAGATCCGCAGACCGAGCTCTATGCCTTCCGGGTCGATCTGACCTATTGCAGGGAGTACGTGGGGAAATGGGAGGCAAAGAAGTATGTCAAGCTCGACCCTCAGTATCTCACATGGACGCCATATGTTATGGGCAGAAGTAATGCGTCCAACTTTGAGCTTGGGCCGGCACTCAATGCCATCGCACCGCGTGAGGAGGAGGACGAGCCGAAACCGACAGATCCTGCTGTCAGCATTCTGCCCAACGGCGAGGCATCCGTCGTCTTTGCTGCTGCTGCCACCGATGGCGTGCCACACAACACCAGACTCCAGGTCGAAGGCGTGGTTCTCGAGTCAACCGAACCTAGCGACATTGCGGATGGGGCCGCGGCTGCGGTCACCGATGGACTGACAGCTGCCGAGACCCAAGGAGAAACATCGGCCACGAGTGGAAACGATGTAGCTGATGCCATCCCAGACAGCGGCCCGGCTGAGCCGGAATGGGTGGTCGCGTACAAATCAGTACCAGTTACTCGCTTCCAAGTTTATCCTTCCATCTCACGGCGTGTCGAGCGGCCACGCCCAGTCATCCGTGCGCCACCAATCGTGCAGCAGCCAGTCACACTTCCACGTCCGAAGCCACGGCGCCCGCCTGCTAGCCGTAGGTCAACAACATCGTCCTCAAAGCCGAAGAGCTCTACGACACGGGTCCGGAAGACGGGCGGCACGGGCCGCGGACCTGGTCGCTGGCCCAAGGGAACCAAGAAGAGTGACTATGGCAATGCTGACAGCGGACCGGGCTTACCTCCTGCCTGGATCGCTGCCAGAATTGCAGCTGAACAAGCCAAAAAGGTCCCCGTCGAGGATGCCAAGACATCATCGAAGGCCAAGGCAACAGGAGAGGTCATAGGGGCGGACGGGTCGGAGCGGGAGGCGGAGGATACGGTGCAGGTGCAGACACCAACAGTCAAGGACACGGCGTCTCTCAAGGGGGGTCAGAGCTCTAGTGTGAAGAGTAGCGAGAAGAGGAACGGTGTTCAGGCACACTGAACATCGAACAAACAGGCGGTGCGACTCCTGGGGAAACAGTATACCATTGTCCCACATATTGTAATCTGGCTGGTGCGGATATTACTATTACGGCGTCGGAACCGGTGGTGCTGGCGCTATTCTATTTCCTCTTTTTGAGCGCTGTATTACTTGGGATTTTGAGGCTTTTCTCCATTCGTTATTTTTATCCCGGTAGTAGTCGTTATCTCGTGTCGGTTTTTACTCGTCGCTACCTTCCTAGACAGTTCCTGATTCCGCTCGAATAAAAGATACCCTCCAAGAAAACCACCAAAGTCACTATTCCGTAGTTCACATTTTAATCGCAGCAAGATGAACAAAAGTTCATGTAGTTAGGTCATTGAAGTGACTTTAATGATGAGATGGTTCCCCGGTTGGTGGTCAACGTTCTCATTTTCAATTGGAAGTTCTCAAGCCAATGCGATGATGTATTCTTTGATGGTCATGATTCCTTGGCGATGCCCACACTGTAGAGTTATTTGACCAAAGACAAAGGGGGCCCCCTGAGATTTCCCTGCGGAAGCCGAGGTAGGCACAGCACACGCCGCATACGGCATACGTCATGCTACTCTGGCCCACGATCTACGAGAGCTGGAGCTGTCGCATCAATACACCGCCACGTGCGCCTATGCGTAAAATCACCGTGTTTTTTTTCTGCAATAGGACCCTGTTGCTTGGCTCACAGCGGACGCGGACGAAGCCACGCAGGGGACTCGTCATGTCAAAAGTGCCCGCCACTCTATCTCGTCAGCACCCAAAGATACTAGGCTGGAGACTGATGGAATCAATGCGGCGGAGTGAGCAGGACGGGCAGGACGAGAGGCCAACGTGCATTCAGGCACATAGCAGTCGACGCATAGGTCGAGGTGCCTGCTTGGTGTTTTGTAGACCGGGCTGAAACAGACACTCTGGCCAAAGGTAGGTAGGTACCTATGTCTAGGTACCTACTGCGTACCATAGCTTTTATACCTGACTGGTCCAAGTCGAGAAACAGAGGGAGAAGGAAAAAAAAGGCACTCGACTGGTCGGCGGAACCGCTTGGTGCAGGCACGTTGTAAGCCAAGGCACAGCCAAATACCCTGGCGGCCTCTGTCTCGAGGAGTGGCCGCGACTCGTCGAATTGAAGCAACCCACCCCCCTCACACTGCTCCCAGCCTCCGCGACCGACCGACCGACAGACCAACTCTCGCCAAAAAGCTGCTGCGGAAACAAAACCCCCTAGCGCGGCGACATTGGGCTGGTCTTTTAGCAAGCGCGCGCATTTGTTTGTAACGAGAGCCGTTGGGCACGCTCTCATTTCCGCACGGTAAATTACACGCAGCATCCACTGCCACCACCGCATCACAACGACGGCCCCATCGATCCGGCCGCCCAGCACGAGATTCCAAGAACGAGGCCCAGCAAGGAACCACTCGAGGACGCCTGTCAAATTGTTAATTGGCGCCTCCCTTCCCAGGTGGCTGGCTTTTAGCGATAAGATTACCTGCCGCCTCACGCTGTGCTGCTCAGCCCGCTCGCCCGGCTGCACGTCTGATCCAAGACTTGGGGTCTGGTACCGCCACGACACGCCGACACACCTGACCCGACGTTACTTATCCCCGTCTCCGATCTGCTGAGCTACCGCCGCGCCAGCGCCCAGTACATCCTGCGGCCGGTCCACCGTATTTCCAATCTGCTCTCCGCGGACCCCCGTTTCCTCCTCTAGATCCATCGCGTCGTCGCGTCGCCGCAGCCAATTGTCAAGATGTCGCGGGTAATGAGGAGCGTCAAAAATGTTACCAAGGGGTACTCCAATGTGCAGGTCAAAGTGCGCGAAGGTATGACAGCCCCCTGTGTTCGGTCGCAAGATGGAGGCTGCTTCGTGGGACAATCAGAGCTGACGACATCACTCTCCGCAGCGACCAGCAACGATCCATGGGGCCCTACCGGGACGCAGATGAGCGAGATCGCTCAGCTCACCTTCAACTCGTACGCTCCGCGAACCCCATCCCCCTCCTTGCCTCCAGGCATTGGCTCCGGCAGACCACTCACAAAACGCGATGCAGGTCGACCGAGTTCTACGAGATTATGGACATGATAGATAAACGCCTGAACGACAAGGGCAAGAACTGGAGACACGTCCTCAAGGCGCTCAAGGTTCTTGACTACTGTCTGCACGAGGGATCCGAGCTTGTCGTCACATGGGGGAAACAGAACATCTACATCATCCGGACGCTGCGCGAGTTCCAGTACGTTGACGAGGACGGGCGAGATGTCGGCCAAAATGGTGAGTCTTAGCAATTCCTCGCGCGCCCTCCGGATGTTTTGGTGGCTAACCGCGCGATCAGTCCGAGTGGCCGCCAAGGAGCTTACTGCCCTGCTGGGTGATGAGGAGAGGCTCCGGGCCGAGCGCAGCGACAGGAGGACATGGAAGTCGCGTGTGACTGGACTTGACGAATACGGGCCACATCAGCAGCAAGAACCTCATCCTGGGCCCTCGCGAGCCCCTCGAGAGCGTCCTGCCCGCCAGACTGACGAGGACGACGCCGAATATCGTCTGGCTTTAGAGGCGAGCAAGTACCAAGAGGAGGAGGACAGGAGGAAACGGGAGAGCCGCCAAACCCACGAGTCAGATGATGACGACCTTGCGAAGGCCATCAAGCTCAGCAAGGAGGAAGAGGAACGCCGCCGTCGCGAGCTGGAGTCGTCCACCAACACCACCTCCATCTTTGATGAGGATCTCATCCAGGTCAACCAACCGCAGCCGACCGGCGCTAACCAGGGATACACCCAGGGGAACGCCGTCGACTTTTTTGCGAACCCCATCGACCAGAACCAGACGCAAGGCCAGCCTACCGGGTACATGGCCAACGCCTACACCGGATTTCAGGCTCAACCCACGGGCTTCCAGCCCCAACCCACCGGGTTCCAGAACGGCTTCCAGAACGGCTTTGGTGCTCAACAGCCCGTCGGCTTCGATCCCTATGGCCAACAAGCGATGCAGCAACAACAGCAGTCTTTCCAACCCCAGCCTACCGGCTTCAACCCCTATGCTCAGCAACAGCAGCAGCAGTTGCAAATGCAACAACAGCCGACGGAATCCTCGCTGCAGTCCGGCAGTAACAATCCATGGGCAACCAATAACAACCAGCAGCAAGCGCTACGCCCGATGCAGACGGGATCCAACAATCCATTCGCGGCGAAGCCACAGCCTTTCAAGGCCCCGCCGATGCCGGCGCTGGGAAGCCTTCCTGAGCAGAAGACACTTTCGACTTTCCAACAACAACCATCCCCATTTCAATCACAACAGCAGACCTCATTCCCCCAGACCTCATTCTCTCCCGCTCCGCAGCAACAGCAGCAGCAACCTCCGCAGAGGGAGCTTAGTGAGCACGAAGCGCGTCTTAACCAGTTGCTTGCTAACGGCGACGGCATGGACACTTTCGGCAATGTGGGTCAGACACGTATTCCCGCTCAGCATACAGCACCGGGGACATTTGTCAACAGCGCCGGGGCCGGCGCCGCGCGCCTCACGACCGATGCCACGGGCAGCAACCCGTTTTTGCGAACGCAATTCACGGGCATGCCCACGCCCTCGTACGGTGGGCAGCACCAGATGCCGGCGGCAACGGGGCCGGCGGGTATGAACAGCGGCTTTGGCGCGCCACAAGCGACCAACAACCCGTTCGCTACGAGGCCACAGCAGCAGCAGACGAACCAGGGTGATCTGATCCAGTTCTAGGAGGATGATCGAGACCCTGGGGGAGAACAGTGCGAGGATGCGAGCAAGGGGGTAAAGGGTGAAGAGGGCAAGAAGGAACTTTAGAAAGATATTTGCATATTCACATATCCACAGTTTTATACGCCATCCGCGTTTTGTCTCGTCGGGATCGAGGGCATGTCAACTTGTCCTCTTGGTGGACGTCATTTTTGTTCTTCAACGTGTCTGGACACAGAAACATCGAGGTTCTGGCGGTCAAGCAGTTGTTGCGATATTGCTGTTTTGGCTGCCGCATTCACCTATGCAAGAAAGATATATCAGGTAGTTGTTTGGCCAGCAGTTTGTAGGGGGCGGAATTCTGAACTAAACTATTTTGGTATGCAGCTGCAGGACGATAGATATTCAGGTACATACATGATCATCTCCATGCGAGCTTGCCTATTCGCTGCTTTCTAGAGGACTTATCGGGCATCATCAATTGTGATCCAGGCCCAGGGATTCGTGCCGTTGGATCTTGTTTCTCACCGGACTTGGATGAGAAGGACTCTGCCAGGATAGAAGCCAGCCTTGAATTAATGTGCGACTGTTTATTTCTATTTATTCCCCTTTATCCTCTTTCCCGTTCTTACCTCTTTCTCCCCAAATTGTCATTGAGCTCGTTTTTGTTCTCTTCCTCCCCTGTTTATTTTGTTCGTCTTCTAGATACTCTATTCAATTCTCCGATTCTTCTCATTGCTCTAAGTGTAATTCTCTTGCCGTTTTTGTTTCTGTTTATGAAGGGGGCTGTCCTATCGCACTCACGTCCAAACCTCGCTCTGAGCAGTTTTCTGGCAAATATCTCCAGATAATCTTCCGCAGGATTTGTCAGGCAGCGTCCCCGTATTGCTCTCGTCTTGCACCGAATTGGGTGGTTGTAGCGAAGGGGGTGGGCACTTGAGACAAGGCAGACTGAGAAATTAGTCATTTTACGGCTGCAGAAGCCAAAAAATCAGGCACCAACGTCACATGATGCCACAAGACACGATTGCTGACAGAGGCCGCCCAAAAAAGCTCCGTGGGTTTTGCGCCGTGCCCGCTTCTGACAATGTATAAAGTTCTCTGATTCCCGCAGTGCTGGCTCGTGACGGAATGTTGGAACTTTCATCCTGTGGACAGTGAACGGGTGTCTGCGTTGGATCCACCAAAAATCTGCTTGCTTGTGCCTGGCTGTCGCGAGATTGTGCTTGACCGTGTACGGATAGAAGCCGGGCAAGCGCACCAACCCAGAAGGCCCCAGGGGCATTGCTCTCCTGCCTCGGGTTTGTGTTTGCTGTGCTTGGGTGCCCAAAGACCTATCGGATTGGAGTGCAGTGGGTCTTCCAGAAGCTAGACTGGTCCGTGCACAACATCTAGGTTTCTGGCCCGCTGGTTGGCTGGCAGTTTTTTGCTCCCCTGGCCCCGTCAACCTGGCAAAGCAACGCGCCCACTCGTCTCGACTGCTCTACTGTCTGGTAGCACTTTGTCCATCTTCCTCCCAGCTCGCGCTGCCCAGGAAGCTCCATCTGGGCACCAACTGACAGTCTGCATAGTTGCACTTCTTTTTGGGGTGTATTCCCATTCATCTCTTTTATTCTTGACTCTTTAATCTCGCGGCGCACTCCCGTTTCCTTTCCATTCTGTGCCATCTTTGCGCTCAGGTGTTCCAGCTTCAGCGGTGCGACCTCAGAAAAAAAAAAACTCCCGACCTCCCAACTTCACGCAACTACAAGAGGCCCGCCCGGCACGCGCTCTTCGCATGGCCCAGCGCACACGCATCTCGCATGCAGAAGTCGGCCGCTAGTATAGCCTGGATCTTATTCCTGACTCTGGCGTCGGTGGTTTGGTTTTGACGCGTCGAGTCGCGCGCTTCAGCTTACAGCCAGCCGCACCTCACATCACCATCACCATCACCTCAAGGCTCTGGCCTTTGCGCCGCCGCGTCTGATCGTCGCCCACCATGTCGTTCGGCACCGGCGGCTTCGGCTTCGGCCAGGCCAACCAGCCCCAGCAGCAGTCGACGGGCTTTGGAGGCTTCGGCACCAACACGAACACCACGTCAGGTACGTCTTTTCTCTGCTGTCCCCCTGCTTGGCTTGATCATCCCCAATGCCCTGTCAAAACCCTCTGTATTTCTACGCGTCCCATCACCTGTGGCAAGGCGTGTCCTTGCTATCCTGGCATTCACGCCGCTGACCAAGCTCCCGTCCTCTCCAGCCTTTGGTCAGGCCACTCCCTCGGCTTTTGGAACTCCCGCCAACAACACGACTGGTGGTGGACTTTTCGGTGGTGGCGGCACTTCTGGTGGGTTTGGAAGCACAGGCATGTTCTGCCTTGTCTTGCTATCTCTCGCGCCCCCCATATGTGTCAGCGCATGGCTAACACAAACTCTTCTGTTGCAGGCGGCGGCGGTTTCGGATCCACGAACACCGGCGGGTTCGGCGCAAAACCCGCATTCGGCGCAGCTACGACGACCGCCGGTGGTCTCTTCGGCAGCTCAACGACGACTACTGCCGGACCTTCCGCTTTTGGAGGCTTCGGCTCAAATACCAACACCGCCAACACTGGCTCGAGTGCTTTTGGAGGCGGTAGCTCTCTATTTGGCGCATCCAAGCCCACAACCGGCTTTGGCTCAGGGACCACGGGCGCCACGACCGGCACATCGCTCTTCGGCTCAGGGGCCAACACCGGCGGCGGCGGCTTTGGGAGTGCTGCTGGGGGAGGCTTTGGTGCGAGTAACAATCCCGGTATCGGCACTAACGTTGGCGACCCACCTGGCACAAACGTCGTTACCTTCCAGCCGACGATTGAGAAAGAGGCCAACAGCGCCACCCAACAGAACTCATTCCAGAACGTGCTCTTCATGGAGCCGTACAAGAAGTTCTCTGCCGAGGAATTGCGACTAGCTGATTACACCCAAGGTCGACGCTATGGCAATGCTTCTGGCGGAGGTGCCTTCGGTGTGAACTCGAGCTTTGGATCTGGAGGATTCGGCGCCAACAACAATACCGCAACGGGGTTCGGTGCTACGGCTACCACGAGCACAACGACAGGCGGCCTCTCAAGCGGCCTCTTCGGAGGCACTGCTACGGGCCAACAAGCCACAAGCGGAACCGGAGGGTTTATCCAGGCAGGGAGCACCACAGGCGGGTTCGGTAGCACCGGCGGTGGATTGTTCGGTGCAGCCAAGCCGGCCACGACTGGTCTCTTCGGCAGCACCGCGGCCTCGCAACCCGCTCAGACAGGTGGGCTGTTTGGCGGTGCTGCAACGGGAGGCGGCGGCTTTGGCTCTGCTGGAACGACTGGCAGTGCATTCGGCTCCTCTACCACCGGCGGAGGCTTGTTCGGGTCTAGCAACCCTGCCGCCGCCACCGCATCCAAACCTCCAGGGTTTAGTTTCGGCACCGGCGCGGCTACAGGCACCACGGGTGGCTTCGGTAGCGCTGCAACTACCGGTGCTTTCGGTAACGGTGCAGCAACCACTGGCGGTGGCCTATTCGGCAACAATGCCCAGCAACAGCCCCAGCAGCAACAACAAACCGGCGGTCTCTTCGGACAGCAGCAACAGCCGGCCAACACTGGCAGTGCATTCGGAGGTGGAGGTTTTGGCCAGCAGGCTCAGCAGGGAACATCCTCTCTTTTCGGTGCCGCCACACAAAAGCCTGGAGGCGGCCTCTTCGGCGGGGCGGCCCCTGCCACGACGACTACGGGTGGTGGTTTGTTCGGATCGGCTCCTGCAAACGCTGCTACCCCCTTTGGTGGCAATCAGACGAACCAGGCAGGCGGCGGCCTCTTTGGCGCAAAACCTGCTGGGTCTGGCGGGCTATTTGGGGGCTCGACGACCGCACAGCCTGCGGCTACCGGAGGTGGCCTGTTCGGTGGAAGTCTTGGCTCTAACATTCAGGCCCAGCAACAACAACCGGCACAGGCCGGTGGCCTGTTTGGAGGCCTGGGCCAGGGTGCTCAGGCGAAGCCGTCCATGTTCGGCACTACCCAGGGCACCGGAGGCGGTCTTTTTGGTGCCCAAAACCAGCAGCCTCAGCAGGGCAGTCTGTTCGGCTCAACACAGCAACTGCCTATCCAGGGCGGCTCGCTATTCGGAGCTTCGCAGAACCAGTCCGCACCTCAGTCGCTCACCACGAGCCTGGCTGATATGTCGGCTTTCGGTACCGGCTCTCTCTTTGCAGGCGTGGGCGGCAACGATGTGCAGAACCCCGGTCCTTTGGCGACGCCACTTTCATCGGCCAAGAAGCAACCTGCGAGAGCATCGATCCTGCCCATTTACAAGCTCTCCAAGCCCCAGACACCTAAGCGGGGCTTTGGATTCTCGTACAGCACCTACGGCTCACCGTCCACACCCTCGAGTGCTAACAGCACCCCGGGTGGTTTCGGACAGAGTATTCTGGCCGGCAGCCTCGGGCGTAGTCTGAACAAGAGCATCTCGACTAGTAATCTGCGGCGGTCGTTCAACGCGGAGGATAGCATTCTTGCACCCGGTGCCTTCTCAGCTAGCACTGGACCTAAGAGCTATGGCAACAATGGGAGCATCAAGCGGCTGGTTATCAATCGGGACATCCGAAGCGAGCTTTTCAGCACGCCCAACAAGGATCGCTCAACTCCCGAGGTCGGCAGCGCTCGCAAGACCAAGCGTGTGAGTTTTGATACATCGACTGCCGCCACCATCGAGGATGGCACCCACTCTCCACCGGATGACTCCGCGTCTTCCTCCAGCCGTGCTCAGGACCTCGGCTATCTCCGACCAGCCACCCGTGGCACCAATGGCGTCAACGGCTCGTCTAGATCGGTCGCCTCCGATGGTACTCCGGAGATGGAACAGGTCAAGGGCAACGAGCTTGCCATCGTTCATGAAGAAGGGTCTCCTCACTCGGCGTCTCGCTCTGTCGACAACGGTAGCGACGCGGAAGCTGGTGACTATTGGATGCACCCGTCCAAGGAGGAAATTCACAACATGAACAGAATGCAGCGCCAGAACGTCACAGACTTCACGGTTGGTCGTAAGAACATCGGTAACGTGAGGTTCAGGGTTCCCGTGGATCTCAGCAACATCGATATCGACGAGATTTTCGAGGGCCTTGTTGTCTTGCATCCCCGATCGTGCACCGTCTACCCAAACCCCGCCAAGAAGCCCGCAATGGGCAAGGGCCTGAATGTCCCTGCCGAGATCACTCTAGAACAATCCTGGCCCCGCGGTCGGGATAAGGCTGGCAGCCGCGGGCTCAGCAAGCACGTTGAGCGTCTGAAGCGAATTCCGGACACGGGCTTCGTGAGCTACAACCCCGAGACTGGCGTTTGGGTTTTCACCGTTGAGCACTTTACCACATACGGTCTCGACGACGATGACGATGACGAGGAGACTGAGCTCGACGCTGCTGCTCCTCAGCAGCCTCTGGCACCCAAGCCCATTTTGGCCCAGCCTCAACATTCAGACAGCCGACCCTACGATGCCCACTACGACGAGAGCCTGGAGAACAGGCGCGCTCGACGCATCGTTCCCGGCGCCTTCGATCCTGCTGCTGAGGCCATGGACGAGGAGGAAACGCCAGAATATCGTGGCAATGTACGACCTCCTTCGCCGAATGAATCTTCTGAGTCCGAACGCGGAGACCACGCGGCTGACATTGCCCAAGAACTGTCAGATCTCGATATGGGCGTCGAGGGGGAGGAAGACTCGCCCGATATTCTGGCGACCCAGGATCGCCTGCAGCACTCGCTTCATTTGACGCCGGCGGTGCAGCCTCCGGGTGTTCCCGCCAGCATCGTGAGGGCCAGGATGCGGGCCATCAAGGAGTCGACAGCCCCAGAGAGATTCGAGGTCACTGGGGGAGATGACTGGATGCACATCCTTAAGAAGTCTGTGAACGCAGGTCGGCCCCGCGACAGGGCTGCTCTGCATAGCCTTAATGAGGCCCCGGTGAACAGCATTGGTGGATCGCGAAACAAGGAGAAGCCAAGCAACCGGCGAACCGAGCCTGATGGGCGAGGGTTCGCAACCAGCATCGACCTGATGAACTCGTTATTTGGCAAGGACAAGTCTGCCGTTGCTTCTGAAGAAGGTCCGGCGTCCGGCATGGACGCCTTTAACCGGCCGGCCAAACCCTTCATCAAGGTTGGTGAAAGCGCCGTCCCACCGCATCCTCATCTCATCTTCGCCTAACCGTCGCGCATGTTTACCATCCTGCCCATATCTCATTTTTCCCTTCTCATACCTGTCATTTCCATGTCATTCTTTACATGTAGCACCATCGTTTTAATGAGTACACCATGAAAAATCGAACAAAAAACAATCAAACAATCAATTTCACACATGCTAAGTTCTTCTTTTGCTTTCCAGTGGCCGTACCAGAAGCAGCATCAACGAGATTCGACCGATGCCACGAAAATGAACCCTCGCGAGCGCCAGTTTCACCTCTCCTTCAAGCCGCGGTGGGGTCCCGGCAACGCTCTTCTTGTCGTCAAACCCAGGGGCTCGTTCCAAGGTCCCGATCGAGGGGGCGTGGGACAAGCTGGCACTGGCATTGCCACGCGCTCACAAGAGCTGTGGAAGATTCAAGCATTTCCTCTCCCCAGCGCTACGACTTATTGGTCAATTCGGGAGAGTGGCATAGACCAAGCGCCGAGCCAGCCCAGTTTGGATGCCCTCCCCGCCGGCCCCCCTGAATCTGGAGCGGTGCGCTCGTTTTCGGACGTGGTCATGGCCGGCAAGGCCGTGTCGCAATCATCGCCGGTAAAGGTGTATGAGCAGTCGGTGTGGGAGCTGGCAAGCATTCTTTTTGACCCCATCGCCCAAGGCAGCGACGAGAAGAGGATTCGCAGACAGAAGCTATCCGCCTTCTGGAGAAATCTTGTTTTCCCCAAGACTTCCAGGGCCATCGACAATGCTTGGTCAGCAGATAGGAAGGCAGTCGCCTGCCTCACCGGGCATCAGGTTATAGAAGCCTCTCGGTATCTCAAGGACGCGAAGCATTACAAACTCGCCACACTTGTTCCTCTCATTGGCACTAGCGACTGGGCTAAGAAGGATATGGCCGAACAGCTTCAGGATTGGCAGCATGGGGATGTTTTAGCCGAGATGGAGACGACGGTACGGATCATCTACTGTCTTCTCGCCAGTGAGGTGACTGTCTGCAAAGGCAAGACAGGTGCGGGCAGCGAGAATCGCCTCGAAACTATCGTCCTCTCGGAACACCTAGGTCTCAACTGGCAACAGTCGTTTGGCCTCAGGCTATGGTACGGCATCTCGTCCGACGATGACATTGCCGCGGCTGTGGCGGAATACGAACACGACATGGAACAAGGGCTGACGCCCCGTCCTGTCCCTTGGTATCAAGAAGGTGCTGCATATGGCGACAAGGAAAACGCTACCGCGGCCCAGGACATAATGTGGGGTCTTCTGAAGCTGTACTCAGGACGGGCCAGCTTAGAAGAAGTGCTGCAGCCCGAGAACTGGCACCCTTCGCCCCTGGACTATTCTCTCTGCTGGCAGCTTGCCCATCTCCTCTCGGACTCTGGAAAGGAGCCATTGCCGCACCAGTCTCAGTCCACGGTCGACTCTCTGGCGTTATCATACACGGCCCAGCTGACGAGCGATAGGAGCTGGCTTCCCGCTGTCCAGCTCTCGGCAAGAGACAGGGGCGATATGCAAGCTTACGAGGTCACTTCATTTATCCACGACTTGGACTGCAGGGCAAAGCTACTAGACAAGGCCTCTGTCGAGGACGCGGCGAGGCGTGTGCTTGTGTATCGGAACATGGCCAAGGCTTGGGAGCTTCCTTTCCTGGCGGTGAAGCAGGGACGAGTCAGACACGAAGCAGACGCCAAAGAGTCTCGGCGCGATGCGGCTGGGTATGCTCTTGTGCACCGCTATCTCGGCAGCCAAGTCAACTGCTTGGATCCGATCAACATTCAAATCCCAACCGCGGAGTTAGTGTATCTGAAGTATGCGGGACAGCACCATGAGATGGAGAAGGTGGTGGTGAGGAAGCTGGATGCCCTCAAAATCCTGGTTTCGCCCCCCGCACAGGACCTGCCGGGCTTCATCAAGTGGATGCGCAACCGACCGGTCAAGGACGGGCTGAGCGAGGTCGCGGCGTTGGCCGAGAGGGTGGCGAAAGGCGAGCGACTGTCACACTTTGACACGCCTTTTGACTACGACGGGTACCTGGGGATGCTCAAGAAGAAGCGGGAAGAGGCGGACGAGAAGGACGTGCTGATGCTGGCGGCAATTTCGACGCTGAGCAAATGGGTTGAGGCGCAGCGCCTGGCTGGATACTGAGGTGTATGTGCGGGCGCCGTCATTCGCGCATCGTGTGAGAGAGACGGGGAGGGGCGGACCATGTGGGCTAGAGGCTATATCGAGTGGTGTGAAGGGGGCAGAGCGGGAGGAAAAAGCGAGCTCTGCACGTTGTCTGTATAACGATCGAGTTACTCTCCTAGACTAGGTAGATAGATAGGTACGGCTGCGCAGTCGGTTGCGAACAACTATCGCGAGCTGTCTTAATGCATGTTAAAAGCTGTATGTCATTGCTTCATGAGCTCCGTCATTTACTAGGAGAAAGTTTGCCCTTTTTCACCTGCGTAGGCCGTGAGGCGTAACCTCGGATTTAGATAGGTAATCGCGGAATAAAAAGCGTTGCTCCCGCGCGACGGGTGTTACAAGGGCCAGATGAACACGTCCCTTTGATGTCTCGGCGAGTACGCTTCATACGTGTGTGGTTGACAACCCATGTACTGGAGAATGGCATGGATATAAACAGTAACCCAGGTTGTGGTGGCTTTCCCTGTGTGCTTTCTACGGGTATCGTGGTATGCTCCCATGGACCCATGCTTTCCGCTGCCGTCTAGATAACCATCCCTTGCCGAAAAAAAAGGAGTGAAAAAAAAAAAGATCCCAACGCCAGGCCTGAAATCACTTGCGCCATATAGACTCGTACACTCAACAAGGGCTTCCCTTGTTTCCCGTCTGTATCTTAAGCGCCACTTCCAAAGCGTGTGCACAATTCCACATATCCGTTCCCAGGATATCTCTTGAGCCCGTCAACACAAGGAGGTGGTGAAGAGTGCAGTGGATGGGGACGCATGGTTCGTATCTTCGACTACCGTGAGGCCCCACCTTCTTTCATTTTGCCCTTGCGGTTGCTCGTCATGAGTTTGAGTTGCAGCTGAAAGAAGCCTTTGGGAGTTTTTGGGTTCTGGGCCCCGTTGGCGCGGGGGTCGATCTTCTGTCGGCAGATGGGGCAGACCGACTTGTTTAAGTTTGCATGGAGAGCGCCGTGCAGGCACTCACCACAGAAGAGATGGCCTGGATGACAGTCGGGGAGGTTAGCAGAGGGAACCGGGCGAGTCCGACCAAGAGGAGCTCAAATGTATGACAGAATACTCGAGTGTAAGGGGGAGCGCCAATTTACCACAGTGTGTGACGGTCAAGTTGGTCATATCGTCCATGCAAATCGAGCACTGCATGTTACTCAGCTTGACCTGGTTAGCCGACTTCGGCTTGGGCGGAGGAGGCGGGACGTCGTCGTCCACTAGGTCAATGATATCGGCGAGCTCGTCTTCCTCCTTCAGCCGCGGGCCCTTTTGCGAGCCGGCCTTCGCCTGCCGTTCGATATCGTCCAGGTCTGCTGCGCCTTCCTCGAAGGGGTCGGAGAAGGCGTCCGAGTCGATCGGTATCGGGTTGGGGCGCTGTCTGTTGGCGGGCTGTTGTTGGGTGGTCGTCGTCCGTTGGCGTTTGAGTGCGCGGGCTGCTGGCTGGGCCGCGGCGGCGGCAGGTCGCGACGACGATGACGACGCCCCCGCCAAGGACGAGGCCGCGGCGGCGGCAGCGGCGCGCTTGCGGGTCACGACGGGCATGGCTGCGGTGGAGGGGTCGACGGGAGTAGGTGTTTGGCTCCCCGCGCGTTCCCTCTTGACGTCAAGACGAGAGCCGGAGCGGTCGCTGGGGCTGGAGGGGCTGCTGTTCCGGGGGCGTCGGCTCGAGCGCGGGCGTGGCGAGGGACTGGTGTCGGCAAGACTCGAAAGTAGCCTCTCGAGCCTCGTTTGCTGCTCTAGACCCTGCCTCGGCGGCATTAAAGGTGGTGCGGCTGGTAAAGGTGGTAGCCTGGAAGGGAAGGAAGGATCGGCGAAGCTGAAGCTGGGCGGCGAGTGCAGCTGCGGGCTCGGTCGGGCGGCGAGCAGGCCCGCAAAGCCGGTTGGTGGGGGAGGCGAGGAGAAGATGGGCCCGGCGGCGTGCAGGAACAGATGCGAGGTGACGGGCGACGGGCCGAGCGAAGGCTGTGGTAGTGGCAGAGGAAATGCGGGCACGTGGAGGAGAGGGTGCCTGGCCTGAGGCTGACGGTGCTGCGGGGCTAAAGCAGCTGCGCTTGGGGTCGTCGTGGCTGGCGGAGACGCCAGGTCCAAGTCTGTGAAGTCCAAGGCGCCCGAATATGGTGAGAACAGCCAGGGAGAGTCGGAGAGGCGAGGGAGGGTCGCGAAATGCACGGGGGCAGGCGCGGGGGCTAGGGTCGGGTCGGGGTCGATTGGCAGGCTGGAGGTGGATGTGGTTTGCGTCGTGGTTGAAGTTGCGATGGTGGTGCGCTGATGTCGAAGCCCAGGGCGGGTTTGCTCGCTGTCTGCTGGGACCGTGCCTGGGGCAGAGAGTCAGGGTGTCAGGGTCGTGTGAGCGTCGCAGGCACGCACGGAGGACCTCGAGGCTAAGAACGTTCAATAGGGAGGGGAAAAGGCAAAGGAGAAAGGGGGAAAAGGGACTCGAAATCCAAAACACCAACATCGAGGGGGGGAAAGAGAAAGGAAACTGGTGTAAAAAGAAGAAAAACATACCGCCATCAATCTGCCCAAGATCTGCCATCGCGATGCAGAGTGGGTGTGTGCCTCCTGACCTCTATCTTTGGTGTGCGCGCGCTGAAGTTGGGAGTGGAATAGGAGGAAGGAATAAAAACAGGAGCAAGAATAAAAGCAGGAATAGGAGCAACAATAGGAGCAAGAACAGGGGAACGAATGGAACAAGAATAAGAGTGAAAACGGGAGCAAACTCTGGGGAGGGATGCAGACTGCAGGGTGCTGGTTGGGGTGCCTCCCATTGATGAATGAATGGCGTTTTGGCTGAGCTGGGGCCGCGATCGTATTTTATTTCATTGATTTTAGCCCCCCCCTCAGTTTAACCCCAATAACAATACCATTACTCGTCTACAAGGGGTCATTTTTATCTTCTTTGTCTTTTTTCTTACCAAGCATAAACCTAGGTAGTTTCCCATGTTACTGTCTCCCGACCTCAAGCGCGACCGACGGCGATTGCGGCGTTTGACTCGGTTTTTCTTTTGGCTGACACACAATCGATAGATAGCCGGCACGGCACCTACTGACGGCACGTCAAAGGATGGGAGCTGGCCAGACGCATCCGGGCTGGCCTTGTGGTGTCATTAGGTAACGCCAGCTCGAGTCACATTGGACGACACTCGCCCGGTATTTCGCATTTTTATCCAGCGGCACGGTTGCTGTCAACCGAAGTGCTGTGCTGTCATCATCCATCGTCCCGTCAGTGGTGTTGGTTCCGTCCGGTTGGATTGACACCACTTCATCACTGGGTACCTCTACTGGTACCTCTACTTTCCACATCAATGATTATTCTCGAGTCCTCGAGTCGGTTACGTGGTTACCTACGCCTGGCCATGTGCTCCTTTCTGCACTCTTAACCGTCCCGCCTCCCGCCTCCTGCCTCCGCCTTGCCCATCTCGACGTCGCGTTCCAGAGGAGGCAGCCCCTGCGCGAGCCTGGCCTGGATGCGACGCGCCTGCTTGACGGGATCGCCGCCCTTTGCAAAGATGTGGTCAATGTCCTCGAGGCGCAGGTTGCTCGTCTCGGGGAAGAAGAAGTAGAACATGGGCACGAACGGGCCTCGAGCGGGAGGATCTCGGGCACTTAGACCCACGGCACGCTGTTCATGCTCATGCCGAAGAAGAGCATGTACAGGAAGAGGAAGGCGACCGAAGCCGAGTTGAAGGCCTGGCCGCGCCCCGTTTCTTCTCCCTGGGGCGCCTGGGAGAGTAGGGCGGAGATGAGCAGCATACAAATGCCGAACGCCAGCAAGCCGGCCATCATGGTCTTGCGCCGCCCCATCCGGTCGAGCGCGAGGGTGGGGAGTAGGGACCCGATGGGGAACATGAGGTTGATGCAGCCGCCCAGGATCTGGCTCTGCTGCACCGACATGCCGACGTTGATCTCGAGGACCGAGGGGATGTAGCAGACGACGAGGTTGATGCCGCCGAGCTGGTTGGCAAACTGCGCCAGCCACGCTAGCAGAACGCGCCGCCCGTCGTCGTGCCGCAGGATGTTGAAGAAGCTCTTGGTCCTGAGCGAGCTCCGCTCGAGCTCGATGGCCCGGATGATGGCCGTCTTCTCGGCCACGATCAGCCCGTCCTCGGGGGCGCGGTCGTAGACGGCGCGGAGGACCCCGACGGCCTCGGCCTCGCGCCCGTGGTTGAACAGCCACCGGGGCGACTCGGGAAGGGCGAAGACGAGGATGCAACCTGGTATCACCACATCCGCTGGGTAAGCCACAAGTGCTTCCATGAAGAGTGGGGAAAAGGCGGGAACCCCGGGTCCCTGACCGCGGTATAGGTACGGCCTATGCAAAGTGGTGTACTTGGACATAAGAGGCAATCCAATCCTAGAAATAAAGAATAGAGCTGCCCCTGGGTGGAGTCACTGTTAACGCCATTGGACCACGATGCCGCCGGATAATGTCAACATCACTACGAACTTGTCGGAGCCCCCAGGTCTGTACCTTGAAGCGAGCTAGATTTTTTTGCTTTCGGTCAGCCATGTTGAAGGAACACGTATAGTGTACTCACTAGCCTCCATAGGGTTGTAAGTTGCCCAAGGATGGCGAGAGAAATGTCGTCTATGACCAAAAATTTCGCCCACATGTATAGATATGCAATACGAGACATCCCTGGCCAGAACCAAAACCCCGACAGAACCCCGACCACTACCGAACGTGGTACAACGTCAACCGGCACCCCGGGGATTGCCTGCATGAATCTTGCCCTCTATTGAACGGAGCGGAGAGCAAAGAAAAGAGTCAAGTGAACCGACAATTAGGAAGGGGAGTAAAAGGAGATTCACGTGAATTAAAAAAATATACCGAGACAAAAAAAAAAGCGATCAAAGCTTACAGGAACCGGGACTCGAACCCGGATCGGAAGCACTATCCGTTTTCAGGCCACTGAAAGTGGGAAGCCTCCATGCTAGCCCTTACACCATTCCTGTGTGTCTGAACTCTGACGGGGCTTTTGGGTGCGTGGCCGTGGTCATATGTGTGTGTGTGTGTGTGTGCGTCGCGCCTACGGTGGGATGACATGCTCGAGAGCGGAGGCCCATGTGGGCGCCGTCGGATGCACGGCAATCCGGCGGGCGGGAGAGGAGAGCGGCAATCAATGTGGGGTACGGTACTCGTGTAGTTAAGCTGGAAGTGAGTCAATCACTTGGGACGTCTAGGGAGTCACCAGCCGGGGGAGGTTGTAGATCTTGGGATACATGTATTTCTACTTGGCTACATGGACGTAGGTAGGCTCTGGACGTGCATTGTGCATCACAGAACAGACCTTACTGCACCTTTCGTCCTTCAAGCTACGTGCTCCTAGTCGCAGGGCTCTGCACAAAATTACCACCTATTCATGTAACTTCCCAGAGAGAGGTACGTTCTAGACTCGCCCTTTACAGTCCATGGCGTATTGGACTTGGCACTTGGGGTTTGGCAGCCAGTTGCCCAAGTTCTGCATGTCTTGGGCGCCACGAAAGGCGACAAATGCTAATATTTCAATGTAACCCAAGACCCCATTATACAGCTCGTCATGTCAACTAGTGCAGCTCCTGCTCCCCAAGGGACCGGGGTCTTCTCGACCTCGGGGCTCGTGGCTCTGGTGACGGGAGGAGGCACAGGTAGGTCGCGGTCGACGATCCCTTGCGTGCACACAGCCCGAGCCCAAAAGGATGCAATACAGGATCCATCTCTAAATCGGTCTTCCTGTACCCTCAGGTATCGGCCTCATGATGGCTCGGGCCCTGGCCGAAGCCGGAGCCTACCGGGTGTACATCTCGGGCCGCCGCACAGAGGTGCTACAGGCAGCCGCCGAGTCCATCGGACTGCCGGGCGTGGTGGTGCCTCTGGCGTGCGACGTTACGTCGGCCGAGTCGCTCGGCGCGGCTGCGCAGGCGGTCGAGAAGGACGTCGGGTTCCTGAACCTGCTCGTGTGCAACTCCGGGGTCGGCGGGCCGCCCTCGGTGCCGCAGCTCACGGCCGAGACGACGCTGGAGGAGTGGAGGGACGCACAGCTCACCGTCGACCCGGCCGAATTCGACCGGACCTTTGAGGTCAACTGCCGGGCCGTCTGGTACACCTCCATGGCGTTCCTCAAGCTGCTGGACGCGGGCAACAAGAAGGGGAACGTCTCGCAGTCGTCACAGATCGTCGTCACAAGCTCTGTCGCGGCATTCAACAAGAAAGCCCCTGGCGGCTGGGCGTACGGCATGTCCAAGGCGGCTGTGACCCACGCAGTCAAGCAGCTGTCCGTGCTTCTTCCCCAGTGGGGCATCCGGTAGGTTTAGCCAGCCCCTAAGCCCTGCCCTATCTGGCAATCCATGCTTGGCGTTTCTGGCGGGTGGCTTAGCCTGAGCTTACACAGTACCTGGCTTACCGGGTCCCCCTTCACCACAGCGTCAATTGCATTGCGCCGGGCCTCTTCCCCAGCGAGATGTCGGCCCCTATCGTACAGAAGGCAACGCGGACGGCGGGCTGGGACGAGAGCAAGCCGATACCCATTGGGCGCGACTCGGTGCCCCTGGGAAGGATGGGCAACAGCGACGAGATGGCCGGCACGATCCTGTATCTGGCCTCGAGGGCCGGCGCGTACTGCAACGGGAACATCATGCTGGTTGACGGAGGCCGGCTGAGCACCATGCCTTCGACCGGGTACTGACCGCCTACGGACAAAGTGGCGGCGGCCTTGGTCGCGGATGGGGCAGGCTCAACTAGCGGCTGCGAGGTTCGGGATGTTGTGGTCCTTTGGGTTTGTGCTGGAGCCCTTGTGCGATGGCGTCAATTTGTTGAGAAACTCAACTACGGACGGGAGCCTTATCGAGAGATAACAATTGGAAAAAGTCATCCCCACACAAACACTGCTTTTTACTGTGTATCTGCAGATTGCAGCCTGGCGCATTTCGATCCTCTTCACCTGGGTTCAGGTTGGTATTCGCAGATGCCTGTGGACGTCATTGATCTCGCGTCCACGGGACGCATTCCCCTGCAATACAGTCTTACGGCCAAACCTGGACGACACAGCGGCCCCCGCCCTCTGCCAGCTCGGCTCGGGACGGTCGGGCGGACGGATTGGTGGCTCTAGTTCGGTCGCTCGTGGGCCTCGATGAAGTGCCAGTAGTCCGAATTTCTCCGTATCGGCATCCGCGTCCCTGCGAGGTACCTGGTACATGGTCTCTACCACCAACCCAAGTACCTACCTACTATACAAAACCGGCCTCGCATTGACCAGGGACGACGGCTTTGACGCTTGTGCCCGCTTGCTTCTCGGAATCTTACAGCTGATACGCCACCACGCTTGTGGTCGTGTTAATGGCTGTTTACCTAGGCACTGCATGTGGCTTGGCCGAGGCAATTTGCTTGATATTCATCCACCTGCCCACCTGCCGATACCCTTTTCTCGCGAGGCGCCGGGCTTGGCCTCGGTCCTGACATGATGGATGCCGACGTGCAGGCCGACGACCACCTGTGGACGACTCGGCGAACTTTCTTGACGACAAGCCCGTCGCAAATCATGGGGACCCATGCGTTTTGCGCCATTCGACAGGGGACGAATGACGCAGGCCGCGTCGTAGCCAGATGGGTCTGGATCCACGGGCGCGGCTGTGAACAGACGCGGGACAAGGGAGATTCCGGGCAGCCAGCGCAGGAGAAGAGAGCCTTTTCACCCTATCTTTCGACAGGTGCCGCACGCAGGGCCCGACCAAGGTTTACCACATGGGGCACCGCAGGGACCAACCGTTGGCCCTGGGTCATCGGGTCGAACCGGTTGGGGGTTGGGGGCTCTTTATTCAACGGCGCCCCGGGAGCCTTGGGGAGCCACAAAACCTGGCTTGGGCATGGCCGATCGATATGCCGTCCGCTCATTGACTCCGATGCTGGCCGTATCCCAACAGAACCAGGCGGTCGTCGGAGAGCAGACAAATGGGCTGGCAGAAATACCCCCGACATCAAAAGCTGGCCTGCGCCCACCTCGGAGTATCTCCGACCCAGTAGAATACCTGCCCATTGATAGACCCATGGCCACACCTACCCTCAGCTTGTCGCCCACCTTGCCCATCCCCCAGAGTATCTGCCTAGGACTTTATATCCCTGTGGTTATCTGCTGGTCCCAAGTATAATTTTATAATTTACCTGGTTATTTCGCCTGGTAGTCGGGACAAGCAGCAGGCGCATCAGGTCCGTACCAATTGGCTGGCTACCAACCTACCTACCTCCTCCTTACCCTGGTGGCTCCCACCAAACAAATCAAGAGGTAGGTCGGCCCCGATGTGACATCGCCCCAGACAATGGCACCACCAGCCGCCCAAAAGTGCCAGGTACCTGCCTCAGCTCCATTGATGTGCCGCACCTTGGTACCTCCAATCCAGCAGCTCCAAGGAAGGGAGCTTCCAGTTGCGGGGTAATGGGCGGCAACACCTGGTTCGTCCGACCACAATGGAAGGAGGCTTGTGACGCCAGCGCAAACCCGCGTGCCATGCATGGATGATGGATGGCCTGGAAGGCGCAAACACCCCCCTTCCGCGCCTGGAAAGCACAATCGCTTTGGGCGAATGGGCACGCGCGCGCGGGGATGTGCCTGCGGAACCGGCCATCCATTCACCCGTCCATCCGTCACACGCCGGCTGGCCTCCATGGTACCCGACGTTTGTTTAACAGGACTTGGCTAACCGCGTTTGTTCCCATCTCGTCCGTCCCAAGCAGCGCTCTCCCGTCTCCCGTCTCTCGTCTCCTCAACCCCTCTCCCGTCCCAGGCCCTCGCCACGCCGCAACCGCACTTCTGCCGGACGGAATGTCGAACACACTCAAACAGGCCACCGAAGCAGCAAGAACATCGCCAGTCATGGGTACGACTGACGCCGCCCGCAATGATTTCCTGCACACCCCGTTCATGCGCGCCGCCCTGCCCTTCATCAATGGAGGCCTGAGCGGAATGGTGGCCACGACGGTGATCCAGCCCGTGTAAGTCGGTCGTCTGTTCTGCCCCACCCGCCGCGCTGCGAGACTGCGCCGTTGATAGTCTACCTACCTACCTGCCGTCGCCGTGCTTGTCAAACTGTAAATCGAGGCGCAAGCACTCGGGAGGCAGACGCAATGGCTGACTTCGCCACTCCCTGCCCCAACCAGCGACATGGTCAAGGTCCGGCTGCAGCTCGCAGGCGAGGGCATGGCCGGCGGCGCCAAGCCCACCCCCCTCTCGGTCACGCGCGAGATCCTCGCCAGCGGAAAGGCCCTCGACCTCTACACGGGACTGTCGGCCGGCCTCCTTCGGCAAGCCGTCTACACGACCGCCCGCCTCGGCTTCTTCGACACCTTCATGGGCAAGCTCACGGCCCGCGCCAAGGCCAACGGCCAATCCATCGGGTTCAAGGAGCGCGCAGCCGCTGGGCTGACGGCTGGCGGCATCGCTGCCATGATTGGCAACCCGGCCGACCTGGCCCTCATCCGCATGCAGAGCGATGGCCTGAAGCCCGTGGACCAACGCAAGAACTACAGGTCCGTCGTGGACGCCCTGTCTCGCATTGCGCGCGGCGAGGGCGTCGCCGCGCTCTGGTCGGGCGCCGCGCCCACGGTTGTCCGGGCCATGGCGCTCAACTTTGGCCAGCTCGCCTTCTTCAGCGAGGCCAAGGCACAGCTCAAGGAACGCACCGAGATGAGCGCCCGGGCACAGACGCTGAGCGCCAGTGCCGTCGCCGGCTTCTTTGCCTCCTTCTTCTCTCTGCCGTTTGACTTTGCCAAGACTCGCCTGCAGAAGCAGCAGCGCGGTCCAGACGGCAAGCTGCCTTACAGCAGCATGGTCGACTGCTTCACAAAGGTGGCCAAGCAGGAGGGCCCTCTGCGCTTCTACCGTGGCTTCTGGACATACTACGTCCGCATCGCGCCACATGCGTAAGTACCTGCCCGGCTGATCCATCTCCGTTCATGTCGTCCACCGGGGAAGTCACCATTTTTCCCCGCGTGCCCGCGTGTTCCAGACATCGAGCATCTTGTCACCCACCGCAGTTTATACCCTGAGTAGATGCTGACTGTGTCTTTAGGATGGTGACCTTGATCGTCGCCGACTACCTCGGTTGGATAACCAAGTAGGAGACAAGCCTGGTCCATCTTTGGTTAGAGTGAGACGACGATTGAGATCCAAGGACACGCGCATAATTCTGCTTTTTTGTCTTTCATCTTTCAGTTTTCCCTGTCGTCTTTTTTTTCCCTTGTCAGGTTTCCTCTCGTACGGTTTCCCCCGGTCCACCCTCGCACTGTTGTATTCTGGTCATGGAGACTTGGCTTCGGTGTCATGATTCTGTTATTTGGAGGCGTTCTTCACTATGCACATTTCTCGCCGACGCCATGGCGACGCGCGACTGGTTTCCCCTTTAGCTGTGTTACCGGCTTGCTTGTTTTGAAATCATGACTTGCGGATTGTTATGTTGTCGATGAAAATTTTGAGCTGGCTCGGGATGGGCCAGGCTGAGGGCAGACTGAGTGAGGACTGGCGAGAGGGCTGATGGGAGGAGACCTGGAGCCTTTGTCGATATGTATAGTATCCAGGTCTGAAGTCAAGGTCGAATGAAACGGAATTACCTCTAGATGCTCGGGCTGGTGTGTTCACGCTTTTGTTGCTAATGGTATCGTCTCACTGCCTTCAGTGTGGCGACCAGTCCAAGGAATAGCAACCTAACCAGCAATTGATACACGGGAGCTTCTGAAGTGCAGTGAGGCATGTGGGTGCGCGCAGCAAGAGACCGCGGCGGGGTTTGATTGAATTGTTTGCGATTCCAATTGAGCCAGCCGGCGAGCCCCCCACTCTAATTTCCCCCGTGATATCCATCCAATGCAACTCCCGAAACGGACAGGGGGGGTTGAAAGTATCCTTGGAATTTGCACCAGGTCTGAACTGACAAACGAAGCTCTGCATCATCCCGCCCGGCATCATCATCCATGCTCCACTGTTAGATCAGGCCGTTGATCATTGGGAACTCCCGCCGCGGCCAAGAAGACTTCTTCTATCGAGTTATCGATCTGCGCCTCCCCCAACATCTCCTGCTCGACCTACTTCCCCGCTTGCCGGCAACCTGACGGCCGTCGCCGCGGGCTTTCGCCCCTCGAGCACGGGTCTTGCTTGTTGCCCTACGATGTGACGACGCCCTGAAGCCTCCAGCATGGACGCGGACTGGGGCGAGGTATGTTCCTCCTCGCCGACGCCGTGCTGGCGCTCAGCAGCCGCCTCGACGTCTCGTCCGTGGACTGCGCCGTGGCCTTGTCGGGCCCTGCCCCAGTCAATTGATGCTGTTGAGCTGACACTCCCCCTCGTCGGACTGCCACGCAGGTTACTCGCTTCCACTTCCAGCAGCAGCGGGCGGACAGCTTTCTCCATTCGACGATACCGACCGCAATCGCCTTCGATACCGGTGCCGAGCTGCTATGGGTTGGTCAAGACTTTGTACGTGACGCCGCCGCATCCCTGTCCCCGCCGCGCACACGAGCCTTGGCCCCTGCATGCTTTCGTCCGCGTCGCTCTCTTGCGCTCCCGGGGCGTCGTCTGCAACCGCACACCTATCCTAACCAAGCTGTCGGGCACGGTAGGGGAGGGTTGCGTCCTTCTTTCACAATGGCAACAAGGAGATGGAGCGGTATACCGCCTTCAAGGCGAGTCCGCACAACCAGGGGGCGGTGCGCCAGTTTCTCTTCAACGATAGGGGCGTCATCTGCTTGAGCCCCCAGAGCGTCCACATGGCATTGCGGAGAGGCCCGCCATTGTGGCACATCAAGTAGGCCGCTCGCCCTAGCACGCCACGTGGGCCTGGTCGTGGAGACACGAGCCCGAGGCATTGTCAGAGACGAGTTGAAGCTAATGGCGTCTTGTCCTGCAAGTCATGAGGATATGAAAGACTTACGATGTATGTCTTTTACGTCGCGCGGCACGGCCGAGATCCTTGTTGCTGGCTATCAGGACACTATGTTCGTCATCGACGTGAACAAGGGAGACATAACCAAGCAGGTGGGTCACCCGTATATGCGCCTCGCCCGACGCGCCCCCTGTCAGCCCTGTTTGCCCAGCTGCTGTCAGTCTTGGTGGTAGCCGGGCCTCTCCGTGTTGGCTCCGAGAAGAAAACCGGCTTGGACTCTTGACTCACCCTTCTCTTTCGCACTCGCGCATAGGTCCCCGTATCAGAGCATTACAGTATTATGAAGAAGAGCCGGCATATCTGCGCCGCGACTAAGCGTGGCAGCGTCGATATCCTGGATTCAATCAGCTTCAAGGTCACCAAGACGTGGAACACGCAGTCTGCGTACATCAATGACATGGACGTACAGCAAGATTTTATCGTCACTTGCGGTGCGTCCCTCAAGCAGTCGAACTACATGTTCGATCCGTATGTCAACGTCTTCGACCTGAAGAACATGCAGTCCATGGCGCCGATTCCGTTCCCGCCGCTGGCCGCCTTCGTGAGGATGCATCCAAAGATGGTGACGACCGGAATCGTCGTCTCCCAGGCCGGCCAGATGCACGTTGTCGATCTCCTGAATCCTAACACTACCAATGTTAGACAGGCCAACACGACTGCCTATCTCGCTCTGGTCGATATCGCGCCCTCTGGCCAGACGGTTGTCATTGCCGACTCGGACGGGTATCTGCACCTTTGGGCGCCGTCATCCAAGCAGCTTGTTTTCGCCGAGAACATTGCTCAGCTCGAATTCCCCACCGACGAACAGGAAGCTCCGCCTCAAATGGACTGGAGCGTCGAGACGTAGGTTCCCCCATCTCCTTTTGCCGTGTCCGCTACCCGCCGAGTCAGCTTGTGATTGACATTGCCGTAGGCCTCTAAACACGGTGGGACTCACATACTATCGCGAGGAGCTGCTCTCTTCGTGGCCTCAGAATTTCGTGTCGGACGTCGGGGCGCCCCCGGTCATATTCGACCCGAACTATCTCTCTGGCCTCCTCCAAAGCGAGTTCGGCTTGTACGGGAAAAACACCTCGGGGCTTCTTAGGAATCAGCTCCAGGACACCCGATCGGCCGACAGGTCGTCTGGGAGCGTGCAGGCTCCCAAGTTCCTCAGCGAGAAGGCGAGGGAGACGGCTAAGCTGCTGCCGAGACTCTCCAACGGGGACCCGTATCAGGAAGATGCGATCCAAAGCCCCATCAAGACCGAGATCGAGAGCCTCAAGGCCGAGGTGCCCAACATGTATCGCAGTGTCGAGATCAAGTTTAGCAAATTTGGCGTCGACGACTTCGATTTTGGGTGAGTCTGCTTTCTCGCGGTGCATTCAACTGTTAGTGCTGGTTCGTCTTCAGTAGGGGGGTAACTCACACCTCGTCGTAGGTTCTACAACCGCACTCGATATGCGGGCCTGGAGAACCATATCGCCAATTCGTACGCCAACAGTCTCCTGCAGGTCATGCACTTCACCCCCATATTGCGGAATCTCTCCCTTCAGCATGCGGCCACTGCCTGCCTGAGCGAGCAGTGTCTTCTCTGCGAGCTTGGCTTTCTCTTCGACATGCTTGATAAAGCAAAGGGTGCGACGTGTCAGGCAACCAATATGCTGAAGATGCTCACAAGCCATCCCGGCGGTAAGTGCTCCGTATCGGATTTGTTCAAGTCGGAGATTCTTTTACTGACCTCGGCTGCTGTCTCTAGTGGGCAACCTTCATTTGCTGGAAGATGATCCGCATGCCTCGTCTTTGGCTGCCATGATCCAAGGCTTGGCCAGGTTCTTGCTCGATCAGATGTGTCGAGACTACATGAAGACCTCTCCGGAGGTCAACGTGATGGAGCAGGTAAGTCTCATCGTCGTCGGCGATGCGTGGGGAGTGTCGGCGACCGTGCTGCCAGCCTGAACGATAATTGACGTGTTCATGCAGGCCACCGCCACGACTGCTCAAGTCTTGATGAAGTGCATGCATTGCTCCAGCGAAACGGCGCGGTCCAGCTCCAGTTTTGTCAATGACCTGGTCTATCCACAGATGGTGAGTCGTCAGCTGTCCGTCCCCTGGCCTCGACGCATCTCTGACCTGTCGTCTCCGATCAGAATTATATCAGGGGCAGGCCGCCGACTGCGACCTCGTTCTCCGACATCCTTAAGAAGAGTATCGAGCGCGAGCAAACCGCTCGGGGCTGGTGCACCACGTGTCGGGGCTACCAGCCGCTTGCAACCCGCAAGACCATCAAGGCGATCCCCCAAGTGCTGGCCGCCAACGCCAACATCTCGACCGCGGACCAGAAGCGCCTCTGGGCGACCCCCGGCTGGCTTCCAGAGGAGATCGGCGTCATCATCGGCGACGAGCATGTTTATTGCTTCGAGGGCGAGGACCTCAAGCTCCACCTGCAGCGAGCCAAGCACGAGATATACGTGTATTCTTTGATCGGCGTCGTCGTCAATATCGATCGGGGCCCGCCTCACAAGCCGCATCTGATCTCGATGGTCAATGGTGCGTCTCTCTGTGTTCTTTTGATTGCTTGCTGCACTCCTCCCTCCCCAGAACCGATCACTGCCCCTTGCCTTGTGGTATTCAATCTTCGTGTGTCGTATGTCGTATGTCGTATGTCGGTGTCGTCGGTGTCGTCGGTGTCGTCAAATTCGTTTGCTGACGTGTTCCTATCAGTCGCCCACTCTGCACCCGTACCACCCGAGGACAGTCAGTGGCATCTTTTCAACGACTTTCTCGTAAAGCCCGTGTCGTCCAAGGAAGCCTTGACCTTCAATACCACTTGGAAGACACCACTCATAGTACTTTACCAACTGAAGGTTGCAAATAACCAAATCGACTCGACATGGAAGCAGAAGCTCGACATTTCCGTCCTGTACCAGGATCAAAGGTTAGTTCTCCAACGGTCTTCTTTCTCCCGACTGTTGCTACTTCTGCTGTAGTGAGTCCAGAACACTGACCGCCATGACTGCGCAGCCCCGCCTCGGACACCAAGACGTATCAGGTGCTGGATCCTTCCTTCGAGCGCCCTGGTCCGGAAACCATCGTGGCTCTCGACACCGAGTTCGTCGCCGTAAAGCAGCCCGAGATCGAGGTCAATTCGGACGGCGAGAGGGAGACTATTCGGCCCATGATTCACTCCCTTGCTCGAGTTTCGGTCGTCCGCGGCAGTGGTCCCCGTCGTGGCGAGCCGTTCATCGATGACTATATCCTGATCAAGGAGCCCATAGTCGACTATCTGACCATGTACTCTGGTATAACCCCTGGCGATCTGGATCCGCGTCAGTCGAAACACAACCTCGTGTCGCTCAAAGTGGCCTTCAAGAAGCTTTGGGTGCTGCTGAATCTCGGATGCCGGTTCCTGGGGCATGGCTTGCGACAGGACTTCCGGGTAATCAACATTCAGGTTCCCAAGGCTCAGGTGATTGACACCATCAACCTGTTCTACCTCAAGGCTCGGCTGCGGAAGCTGTCCCTGGCCTTTCTCGCGTCTTGTCTGCTCAAGGAGGACATCCAGGTGGACACGCACGACTCGATCGAGGACTCGCGGACGGCTCTAGAGCTGTATCGGAAATATCTGGAGTTCGAGGGTGCCGGATCGCTCGATAGCGTCATCGACGAGATCTACCGTGTCGGCAGGGAGAGCAACTTCAAGCCCATCAGGAAGGATGGCCAAGTGGTTCAGCGGACGCGGACGCCGCCAAACGTCGAGGGCAGGGTCCTTGCCCCTTCCACACCTTCCCAAGTGCCCGTCGGGCAGGGGCAAGTGCCTTCGGGCCCCTTCGGGGGCATCACGACCCTCACGCCTGGCTAGACGCGATGGCCCTCAATTTGACATTTTCTCCCCGATGCCTTCCATCAAATATTTTGGTACCATAGCGTTCCTTACAACTTCCTGATGACGAATCCGTCGCGCATTCATCCATACCACCCGGCGCTGTCGTGGAACGCGTCCAAACGTCCCGAAGTCCCTCCCCCGACCAGCCAAAAATTAACATAAAACCCATTTCGAACAATAAACATTGTGATATGGTCAGAAAGCCCTCGTAGTGCTCATCATCAAACCATTCTCACAATTGTAGTTGACACCGGCGCTGTTGTGTGAATGATGCCGGAAGCCAGAGTCTCGATGGCGACGCTCCGCGAAGCTCCCCCCTGACGCGGCCACATCGCCAAATGCCATTTTTCGCGTATTTTGGCCCAGCGCCGCCCTCTGACGACGTTTGAAAGACGGAACCCATATAAACAAGCCCTTCGCATCACTATTCCGATGCCACTTCAATGGATTTCCCATCGCAATGCCATACCTCGTCGTCGCCGTCCTTTCCTCCCATCACGTGACAGCCCAGTCGCCGCCACAGTATCAGTACAGTGCCACACACGGCTGTCTGCATTGGGACGGCAACGGGGCGCGGTGGGCCAGCCCAGCCAATAGAATGCGCTGCTTTAGTTGGTGGACCTCGACTGGAGCTGGGCGGGGGCCAAGAATTCTCCCAACGCCTACATAGTGCCGGCCAACCGAGCGGCCAAGCGATCCAACATCCATTCTAGCCTCGCCAAGACATACCATTCTGCACACAGTTCAATACCAGACCAGCTTCAACTGCCTCGCACAATGCTTTCTACGATCACCGCCTTCTTCGCGTCGGCCGCGGCTACCCTCCGGGGTGGTCTCGAGTCGTTGGTTTCAGTAAGTCTCATCCCTCTACTTTCTGCTCATCTTCTTCTCTGTCCCTTCCCCTCAATCTAGTCGCACCATGCCTCCATCACCACCACTTGCCACCTCAAGTGTTCTCAACTGGCCCTCACCTGTGGACCCACCCACCAAGCAACGCGAGCGCGTCTTGGTCTCTGCTTCCACACATCCTATCTCCTGGCCCAGTGCCCACCTGCCCCCATTACTCGTCGTCGGCGATGCACCCCACATCGCCGTCGACGTCGACTCACAATCGTTGCCATCACCAACGTCGCCGTCGTCGCGATGCAAAATCTACCATCACACCCACGCTGCATTTTGTCTTTGCCTTTTTTTTTCTTTTTTTCAATTCAATTCAATTCGATTCGATTCAATTGAAGACATCATCAACCACACTATCCATCGTCAGCAACACTATCCATCACCCCATCACCATCCCTTCGTCGTCGCTTTGTCCTTGCAGGCATTCGCCATCGATGCATGTTGTCCGAAACCCTTGTTACCCCTGTCTTTTATTTCGGGCCATCCCGTCTGCACCCCACGATCTTAGCGCCTTGGCATCCATCATCACCCTAGCTCCATCCAAGCGTCTTGCATATCACCATCCTTGCCCTGTCACCCTCATCGGCATGGTAGTCCCTGCACCTTGTCGGCGTCGATCTTCAGGTTCATGCACTGGCCAACACCCAGCCTCGCCGTCGCCATCGCCATCTGCCACACACTACACATACATCATCACCACACACTTAATATGTCGCCTCCGAATACTAACAATGTCTCTCTCTCTCAGGTCCAACAACCCTCTACGTCGGCCGAGACGGTTCCCGTTCTCGAGTCGCTGGTCAGCCCAGCAACCACTGGTGTCAAGTGGCGCCTCCAGTCATTCACTTCGACAGCCTCGGCGTTTGTCGTGTCCACTCTCTCGATTCTTGTTGGCATCTGCCTTCTTCCATTCGTTGCCGTCTGGCTCTACGTCAAAGAAGCCGTCCACTCTTTCTCCGCTCAGTCGAAGTCATTCATTACCGCTCGCCCCGAGGTGCAGCCAAGGCCCGATGCTTGCCGACCGCTACCTGCTCCTCGACATGGCACGGTTATTTCTCGACCGGTCACTCGATCTATGCGCCTGCGATGGGGCCGTGGTAATATTCCTCCCGAGGAGATGCCCCTGTTTCGCCAATGGAAAGAGGAACTGGAACGGCGGATGATGACTGCGATGCTGGCCGAGCCGTCCCCGGACCCTCGAGTGAGGACCATGCCCAAGCGGGTTGTGGAGATCCGGACCAAGCGGAGCCAGCCATCGACTGCTAACGCCAACGGTTCCCCGTCGGCGCCTGTGAAGGAGCAGCCCGTCAAGCGGCGGTCTGCTCTCGAGGCGACGGCGGAGGACATACGGCAAGAGCTCCAGAATAGGAAACGATCGCTGCCCAAGGCCTCTGGGTGGGCTACGCACGAGGACATTGTCGAGGCCAATACCCGAGCGGAGAAATCCGGGAGGGCGATTGGTCGCACTGTCCGAGCCGCCACCTACGAGGAGGTACATGGGAAGCCGATGCCGCCTCCGAAGGCCTTCAGGTGGGCTACGCGCAACGACATTGTCGAGGCCAAGAACCGAGCGGAGAAATCCGGGAGGGAGATTGGTCGCACTGTCGCCGCCGCCACCTACGAGGAGGTACACGGAAAGCCGATGCCGACAAAACAGCCAAGGACCTACGGGTGGGCTACGGCCAAGGATATTGTCGAGGCCAATACCCGAGCGGAGAAATCCGGGAGGGAGATTGGTCGCACTATCCGAGCCGCCACCTACGAGGAGGTCCACGGCCTGCAGCCCGTCTGCTCCGACAAGACCCATCCAGGCACTGCTTCCCCCAGCGACTCCACTGATTCTGTTCAGTCCGGTTTTGGTTCCATTGGTGGTTCCTATCCCGGTACTGTTTCCTTCGGCAGCTCCTCTAATGGTTACGGTTCCGGTTCCGGCAAGCCTCTGGCCGCTTCCTCGCTTCCTCGCACTCCGTCGAGGATTCACGCGAGCCACGGTCACGACGCACTTTTGCCGACATGCATGAGGCAGCACATAGCCTCCAGGTTTCGCCGCTCCCTTTCCCAGACCCCTTGTCGTGCTCGGGCAAGTCCCGGTACTGCTGACTTGGCACCACAGTCTCTCAAAGCGCTGGACAACAGCGATTGCACTCCTTGGGCCGACGAGCTCCAAACCGTCTACGACACCACCAGCTCTTCACTCCTTTCAGAGCTGGACGACGCTCAAGATGAGGTCGACGCGATGCTGTACGACATCGAAAAACGCAATGCCGAGGCCGAGCTACCAATCGACCGATGGAACGCCATCTACTGGAAGCGCAAGAGGCGCGAGGAGCGGGCCTCCAGGAACGCCGCGAGCCGGATGGCCAGGAACTTCAATCTCTCTGCAGCCAGCACAGAGCCTGATAGCTCCTGCACTGTCACTCCGGAACGCTCCGTCTTCTGGTGGCACCGCGACCTCTGATCTCTCACCCGATACACTCTTTTCCTCTTGGTCCTTTCTTGGATAGGTAACGCTCCTTACACACACTCTCTTGTACTCACGCTCGCTTTCACACGATCCAGGTTCTTCGACCCCGACTTTCTTTCATTTTTCGGTCAAGACACAGTGGTCGTTCGTTTTTGTTTTTTGCGGCTGAAACCACATGTCACTCGTTTCACTCCTACGGGACTGCACTCGTTTTTCCCCCCTCTTCTCCGCTCCGACTCCGGTGTTGGCGGCCACAGGCGCCCCATCCCGGCATATGATTCTCTCACTCTCTCAGGCTCTCTTGTCGCCCCGACACAGCACAGGACAGTTTATACACCGAAGGAAACGGTAGGAACCCGACCTTGGCCAACGTCGTTAAACTGACCCGCCTCCCCTGCCGACCTGGGGTGGTGTCTTGAGGGTGAAGGGAAGAAAATACCAGAACCCGGCAGAGCTTCGATCTCGCCCGTCTCGAGCGTCGCCTCCTGCAGCCCAGATACAGCGCAGGAAACTGTCACCGTCTCCCGAAGGAAAACGGAAGGAACCCCTCCCGACTGAGCTATGCACACGCGCCGGGGAGCGACAGCCACAGCATGTCAAGTCTTCTCTGTGAGCTTTTTTTTGCTGTCTTGGCGTAGTCCGCCTCTTTGCTTTCTTGTTCTCGCGTGCATTGCGTTGCGTTGCGTCGTTTTGTTTGCCTTGCCTTGCTTCAGTAAACACAAACACCAAAAAAAGTTGAACACCCAGAAAACCAAAAACATCTAAGCTGACCTGTCCTTTCCTCTTCCTTTCCTTTGTCTTGCTCGTTTTGCTCTGCCTTGCTCGTTCTGCTTTGCCTTGCTCGTTCTGCTTTGCCTTGCTCGTTCTGCTTTGCCTTGCTCGTTCTGCACTGCTTTCCCAGAAAATACAAAAGCCAAAAAAAGTTGAACACCCAAAAAACCAAAAACATCTACCCTGTCCTGTCTTTTCCTCTCCCTTTCCTTGCGTCCCTTGGTTTGTCTCCTTTGTCTTGCCTGTTCTCCTTTGTTTGTCTATTCTCATTTGTCTTGTCTGTTTTCCTTTGTCCTGCTCGTTCTGCTTTGCCTTGCTCGTTCCGCGTTGCTTCGCCTGAAATTACAAAACCCAAAAACAGTTGAACACCCAGAAAACCCAAAAAAAATCTGCCCTTTCCTTCTGTCTTTGGCTTATTCCCTTCTGTCCTGGCTTATTTCCTTGTATTTTGCTTTGCATTTTCCTGAAAACACAAAAGCACAAAAAGTTCAACACCCAAAAAAACCAAAAACATCTACCCTGTCCTGTCATTTTTGCCTCTTTCCTTTGTCTTGGCTTATTTCCTTATGTCCTTGCTGCTGCGTTTGACTCGTTTCCTCATGTCTTCTTGGTGCGCCTGTCTATTTTCCTCATGCTCTCGTTTTGCTTTGCTGCGTATTACTTCTTCCCTCCTGTCTTCTTGGTGCGCCTGTCTTTTTTCCTCATGCTCTCGTTTTGCTTTCTTGCCCCTCTTTTCTCCTTGCTTCGCTCGTTTGTTTCTCTTGCTGTCGTTCGTTTTTCCTCCTTTGCCTCGTCTACTTTTTCTCCTTGCGTCGCTCGCTTTGTTTGTTGCTGTCGTTCGCTTTCCTTCCCCTGCCTCGGCCACTTCCGCTCCTTATGTCGTCCGTTCTCATGCTTGGCACTTTCGTTTGGCTGGTCCCATGATCTTGCCTTCCACTCCATAATATACTTATCTACCCCCCTCTCATGTCTAACGCCTTGCCGTGGCGAGAGGGCTTGATTCCTTGGCTGTAGCTCAGCCGAGGTGACCAAGTTAGACGCACATTGTTCGTCATGACATACATATCTACTCCCCTCTCATGTCTGACCCCTTATCGTGGCGGGAAGTCTTGATTCCCTAGCTGTAGCCTAGTCGGGGTGACGAAGTCGGACATCGCCCTCATCGTTTCTGCTGCGCGTTTTATATCTCAGTGGTTTCATTGCAATCGGGTGGGGTGGTTATCAGGGACTACGCTGTAGTTATGGCATGCACTCGATTGGCCTTTTCTGTTGGGGTTTTCTTGATATCTTCCATGTTGTCTTTTTGGCATGTTCCTTGTTCCCCTATATATGTGTGCTGATATAACAATGTACTGGAGCTTTGTAAACACGACACAAGCGCATTTTCAAGTCCCCATTGAGCTGTCAATATCTCAGGAATGTTGCTACGCCATGTTCTAAACCCGACGACTACCTATGGCAAACCTCTTACAGCGCTCCACTCCTATGGTGGTCCAAACACACACCGGCTTGCGCATTTTCATCTGTGTAGCCGTGACTGGGCAATGTGCGGCCAAGGCAACCACTGAGAATGGGAGGTCGGGGGTTATGACTATGGCGGCGGAGGAGTCACTGGATACTGCGGCGATGCAACAGCGTTCTCACGTGCAAAACACCACTTGACGGGGGATTGGCCAATAATAAGTGGGTGGGTGCTAGCCGTCAGCGGAGCTCACCGCCAGATGTGACATACACACCGAGCCGGGGGTGCCGTGCGACTGACGAGGAGTGGTGCCATTGGTGGCCGTCGAGACGAGGGATTTGGACGGGGAGAAGAGACGGAGCTTCTGCCGGCATGTGCATAACGGCCATGTTCGTAGAATGGTATGGCGGTTGGGAATGCTGGCACAGCGGTTGGGTGCCTACGTTGGGAGGGCGGTAGGTAAAGCCTGCGTGTGCTCAGCAGTGCAGTGCCACTAGGGGCGACAACCATAGACCTGGAGTTGCCTGTATCTACCAAAGTACCTAGGATCCATGGTATCTAGGTACCTACCTACATGGGCGTAGACAAAGGGTGAGGAAGGGAGGCAAGTGGAGGCAGGGAGTGTATCGGTAGGAGAGCTTGGATGATAAGACGGGACGAAAATACAGCGAAAAATTGAATGCCGCTGACGGCCACATGTCATGGAATCATGTTTGCGTCTAACCTTCCATGTTGCAGAGTCGTTTTCGTCATTCGGTTCCCTGGAGCTGGCGGGTGGACCTTGCTGTACGCTGCGCTGGACTTGCACAAGGAGCAAGCAATTGAGGGCACTGGCTGCCTGGAGAATCCACAAATATCCGGTAGAGCCAGCAGTGGGCTGGGGCTTTTGGACCCCGGACCGACTCGACAGATAACCACATCGAATCCTGCCAGGGCTGCTCCAGCTTGCGCTCCATTTCGCATCGCAGCCTTGAACAACCTACGCCGGACGCCTCGAATCGCTGGCTCCTGGCTCAATCAATCAGCACAACCCAGTCCAGCCCAGGCTAGCACCGAGACCGGCTCGACTGCTCACTCAAAACCTGACGTGCCAGACACACTCAAACCGCCGACCCCGACGCGGTTGAACAGGCAGGCTACCTCGACGGGCACATCCGCAACCAACCGAGTGCAACACGGCGGCGCTCGCGGACCAAAAGGGGGCTGGAGGCAGGGAAGCAAGGGAAGCAAGGGAAGGTCGGAAAGGAGCGCAGGACGAAGGACTGGAGCCGGAAATCGCGCACAAGGACGCCACGGCAAACGCAAACGCCGACTGCAGACATGGCCAAGGACAGGGACAGAGACGGGACCGACGCATCGGCTCACGGCCAATCAAAACGACCCGCCCTGGGCGCCCATCGCGACACCAGCGATTCGCAGCACAGCGACCAGCAGCAGCAGCAACAGGCCAATCTCTCGAATCAGCAGCAGCAGCAGCACCGCCAAAAGCCTCAGCAGAGAAAGGTCGCCGGCGGCGGCACTGGCAGGCTTCACGGCCGCGTCCCCTCCTCCAAGGCCCTCTCAAGACACCACGCTGTTGCACCCTCGGCAAAGCCTACCGTCAGGCGCCAATCCTCCACCTCGCCCGACCCGACCGACGGCGCATTTCCCCCAATCGCCGCGGCCGCCGCGGGCCCGTCAGCCAGCAGCAGCTCCCACCACCGTCGCGCCTCGTCAGACCTGAAGTTGTTGAGCCACACCTCCTCCTCGACGCACCTGAAGAAGAACCTGTCCGGCACGAGCCTCAAGCGTAACCGCTCTCACGCCGACGTCGCAAAGCGGAACGGCGGTGGCGGAGGAGGCGGCGGCGGCGGTTCCAGATCCTCCGGAGGCGTGCCATTGAAGCGCTCGCTCTCCAACCCGACCGTCGCCAAGAAGGCCGCTAAGAACCAGGTCCATTTTGCTCTCGGTACCGGCGACGACGACGACGACGACGGAGACGAATGGGTAGACGCAAGCTCCTCGGCTTCGCCCTACATCTCACGCCGTGGCTCTGTCGTCAGCAGCGGCCACCCGGAATCGAAACCCGATAGCCCAAATCACCATCACCATCACCACAGTCAACAACACACTCACCCCTCCCAACTACAGCATCACGAGCTCGACACGGACGTCTCGGCCCCGAATAGCCCACCCACGCGCACTCAGCTTTCCCCGAGCCACGCGCACTCCCGCGGACTCTCCCAGCAGGGCTCACTGCCGCCGCCTTCGAAGCTGCTGCAGCGTGTCCCCTCACAAACCGCCGTGCCAATGATGTCGACCGAGTCCGCCACCGGTGAGTCGGCCTCTGCTGCCGCCCAGCGTTTGCAACATCGCACCTCGGCCCGGGCTGCAAGCCCCGACTCCAATGCTTCCGTCTTCTCCACCGAGGCCGGGTTGGCGGCGCCTCAACGACGGGGCTTGGCTGGCAGCAGTGGAGGCGGTGGTGGTGACATTACGTCCCGTTTCGTCACCACCAGTAGTCACGGCTCCTCGGGGATCCCGGCCGCCGGGGGCTCGTTCTACACACCGAGCTCCCGAATGGCACGCCAGCATGACGATGACTTGTCGCTGCCCAGCCGAACTCGGTCTCTGGCAGCCATGAACGAGACCCAAAAGATCACAGCACAACGCAACGGATACCGCCATGGCGGCGATCCTTCGTCTCTCACCTCGGACGATGAAGCCAATAGTGTTATGGGCACGTCGGCCCCCGGGTCCTCGTCTTCAAGAGCTCGAGCGTCGGTGCCGTACATGGCACAGCCGGCCGAGAAGAGCCGCACTCAGCAGAAGCTTAACCTGCAGCGGGCCAGCTCGACGCTCGAGCCGAACCCCCACAACCTCCCCCACCATCAGGGCCCCGTGTCCAGCCCGCTGGTGGGTGGAGCTGGCTACGACACGCGGGACCCACGTGTCGGAAAGCTCCTGGATCGCGCCGGCATGGAATACATGGTTGTTCGCCGGTACCAGAACCCAGTAGCCCGCAGCCTTGCGCGGTTGTCGCATCTTCACGGTGCCGAAAAGAGCCGGCGCATTCCACTAGCTAACGGCGCCGGCCCCGGGCACGCCAAACGCCACTCGGACTACGCCGGGGTTGCCGCAGCCTCGAGGCTCAGCCAGAGCTACCGGGAGCAAGGCAGCTCTCGGCCCGGCTCGTCTGCCGCTGCGGTGGGTGGCCTCAACAGTGACAGGCATCAGCAACAGTCGAGGCCGGGACCCCCGCGGAGAACCTGGTCAACCATCAGGCCCAACGGGGACAACTCGAGTCTGGAAACTGATGACGGCGGCGGCCGGCGGCTGCACGGTGTGGGGGAGGGGCTTAGTGGCGCTAGTCTGGTGGACGGCGAGGATGACGACGGCACGGTGGCACTGCTGCGGAATATGTGGGAGAAGAACATGGACCTGAGCGCCAGCCAGGAGTAGGGAACCGATGTCGGCGAGGCCATGGTCGATTCCACAGGCGAGCTGCGGCGCGTTCCCCGCCCGTCGTCCTCCACCCATCGAGGGAAGTAACCCAACACCGGTCCGAGAGAGCAGACCGACGGATGTCGATTCTTTCCACATTCGAGGTCCATTCTACCCCGCTGCCGCGCAGTCTATCTCGCCTTCGAAAGAACTCGGATGGGTGATTACTCCAACTCGATTTTCTTGCTTTCTTTTATGCTCGGGCTATAGGCGTTGATGATGAACTCATGACTCCCCTCGTTCTACTGATTCATAATTCACTTTATTTTCATAATACTTTTTTTTTTCTCGTTCTAGTTTCCTACAAAGATTGCGAGACCCCGCCATCAAGCGCGCAGCACACAGGCGTTAATGCACCCTCGGGACAGAACAAAGAGCGGAGCGGATGGAGTTTCGGGATTGAGCTTGTTGCTTTGGGCCTTCGTTCGCAAGGCAGGTACACAATAGCCTCATACTTTTTGTCGGGATTGCCAAGATGAGGCCTGGCCCGACCTGCCAGCTTTCAGAGAAGTGGCGGGGACGGAGCATGAGGACTCCATATGAAGAGTCCTATAACTCGGTTAGCTTACAATGAAGCGTTTGTCAACACGTAATTGTGTGAGCACTGCCAGATTCCATTCTTCTTCGTCTTACGCTTTCCCCGGCCCCCGGGGGCGTGCAGTCGCGAAACTATTTTGGCCTTATTCTCCGTCGTCTTGGCTTCCGGCCTCGTCGCGTTTCATCCGCAGGTTCTTGTCCGGCCCACCAAGTGGCCAGGCTACGGGATGGGAAGCCCACAAAGGCATTCAATGTCAGCCCCGATCCTCCGAACTGCCCAGCTTCTTCTTCACTCATCACGATCAGTACCGTCTTTCTCTTCAGACATGCTGTGGTGAAACCATGGCGTCCGAATCCATATACAAGCCCCTGGACCCGTCCCGTCAGGAGATTCGCCTGGAGATATTGTCGTTTGACGTCGAGGACAAGTCCTCGGTCATCAGTTGCAGAATCCACGTCGTCTCCCTGCTCGACAAGCCCGACTTCGTTGCCCTGTCGTATGTCTGGGGCAACCCGGCCGACACGGTCGAGATGCGGGTGGGCGGGGCGCCGTTCAAGGCGACGGTGAACTTAGCCGCGGCGTTCTGGTAGGCCGTCCAGCACGCACCCTGCTACCTCGCGGGCCCTGGAGACGGTGGCGGCGGGGGCTTCGGGCTCCGGTATTGGGCCGACTCGATCTGCATCAACTAGGGCGATGTGCAAGAAAAGAACTATCAGATTCCGCTCATGAGGCCCATCTACTCGGGCGCCAGGCTCGTGGCCGGGTCGCTGGGCCCCGGCGACGATGAGGCGCGGCTTTTGGACGCCATCCGCTACCTGTCCGACAGGCCGTACTTCCGGCGAGTGTGGATCCTCCAGGAGGTGGTGCTGGCGATCTCGATCATCTTCATGGGCGGCGGGCGGGCGGTGGACTTTGGCAGCCACGAGTTCGCCCTGTTCGACATCCCGACCCTCCTCCTGGTGGCCAAGCCGCGGTGCGCCTCCTCCCCGGAGCGGTGGCAGGTCGCGCAGCCCGTGCTGCGAAAGTGCTTCTCTATGATGTCGCTGTTCGTCAGCCTGAGGCACCCGTCGACCGACGGCTCGGCCGCACGCGAGCAGACGGGCTTCAACTACGACGCGACCAACAAGCACGATCACGTCTACGGCGCCCTCGGCATGACGGGCATCCGCGCGGCCGTCGACTACGCCCGGCCGCTCGGCGAGGTCTACGGCGAGGCCGTCAAGACGGCGCTCGAGGACGGCGTGGCCGCCTACCTGGACCCGCTGGTGTCCTTCGGCGGCGTCGGCCGGCGGCCCGACGTCCCGTCGTGGGCGCCCTGCCCGGAGCCCTTCGACAGCGGCAGGCAGTTCGTCTGGGGCATGGGGTCCCAGCACGGCATGTCGGACGCGCTGGACCGGGAGATGGGCGGGCTCCCCCGCCGCCGCCGCCGCCCGGGAGTGGTGGCGCCCGCGGCCCCTGGCGGCCACGGGATCCTCGCGCTGCCCGCCAGGGGCGTCCGCGTCCAGGCGGTCGCGAGACGCTACGCCATCCCCAACTGCAGGGGCGAAGGGTAGGGGCTGGAGATGCTCGAGCAAGTCCTCGTCCCCGATGGCGGCGGCGACGACGGCGGGCCGGCGACCAACTTCCTCCCGGGCAAGCCCCGCGCCGAGGTCTTCTTCCTTTGCCCGGCGCTGGCGTCGTGGGTTCCCAACGTCGGCGTCATACTCGGGCTCGACGCCGACGTCGCGTGCCGGGCCGCCATGTGGGTGCTCGCCGGGCACCTGCTCCGGCCCGTCAACTCGAGGACCCACCACGTCCGGGACTGGGGGTTCACCTCGGACGGGCACGCGGCCGTGTTCGACCGGCTCCACGCGCAGCTGGGCCTGGAGGGGATGGAGCACGTCGAGGACCCGGCGGGGGAGGAGGCCGCGGGCGGGCTGGCCTCGGTCGTAGGCCCGTACCTCCACAGCGCGCACCTGGACTGCATGTTCGAGGCGGCGGGGGGGATCACCGGCCGCGGGCCGCGGGCGCTGCGGCCGGGGGATATGCTCTGCGCCACCGAGCGCTGCTACTACCCCGTGATCCTGCGACGGCCGCTTCCTGTTCGTCGGGCTCTGCTACGTCCCCGGCATCATGGACGAAGGCGCCCTGGGCAGGTTCGCCGAGGACGAGGAGCCGGTGGTGGAGGAGTTTGTGCTTGTGTGATGCTGGGCATTTTGTCGTATGTACCTAGGTAGGTATCTACATAGCCGTGCGTGCTGCCACGTTCTATCTACCACGAGAAGCTCATGGTTGTATGCTATCTCGTTTGAGTCGTGAGTCGGCAATGTCCAAGCTGTCGAACATGTCGGCTGGATCGGGCTTGGTTGTGAATAGTGGGTGGAGCAACCTCAATTACGTAACCTCGGGTTCCAGCGGCTGCCATTTCCACTTGTGGCCAATGCTCCTCAATCGCCATCATCTCGTGTACTGCCATCACGTTTGCGGCCCGCGGCCCGTCAGCTCCCTAGCCATTCACTCTCAACAACGTCTGTAATTCTCCTGCCTGAAGGGACCTACCTACCTGTCTACCTACCTACCTACCTACCTACCTACCTACCTACCTACCTATATACCAATCTCTCGAAGCTTGATCCACCGACGTGTGTTGCTCCACGACCAACTTCCGACTTATTGCGCCCTCTTTCAATCCGAATCGGCCATTATGAATATCCAACAGTACGAGGCCGAGAAGGCCGAGTTCCAGGAACAGGTGAGTTGGCTCACATCCCCGTGCACTCCATCATCACACATTCTCTCTCTCTCTCTCCAGCACGCCACTGACGCCTTCTTCTTGTTTAGCTGGAAGCGATTCTGGCAGGCCTGCAGGATGACCCCGAGAACGAGGAGCTGCTTGTGCTCAAGAGCGAGATTGAGGAGGCGCTGGCCCTGTGCAACGAGCAGATCGCCGAGCTCCGGCCGTCGCGACCGGCCCCGGCGCCCGCAGCCGCCTCCAAGCCGACGCCGCCGGAGCAACGGTCGGGCGCCGCCGCCGACGACGCAGCTCCTCACAAGTCAGGCCCCGCCCCACCCTCGGACGACAGGGAACCCCCCGAGGCGTCATACCAGGTCAACGATAACGTCATGGCCAAGTGGGTGTCGGGCGACAAGGCCTTCTACGCGGCCCACATCACGTCGGTCACGGGCTCCTCGACGGCGCGCATCTACACGGTCAGGTTCAAGAGCTATGATACGGTCGAGACGCTGCGCGCCCGCGACATCCGCCCCGTCGCCCCCTCGGGGTCGGCGTCGGCGGCCCAGAAGCGAAAGGCCGACGGCACCCCCGTCGCCACGCCATCTGAGCCGCCCCACGCCGCCGCCGCACCCTTGGCCGGCGCACCGGCCCCGCAGCCCGTCGTGTCGAGGAACAACAACGGTGTCGTCCTCTCGGCCTCGGCGACCCGCTACGTACAGCAGCCCCAAGGAGGCGCGGGCGGCGGCAGCGGCGAGGGGTCCGAAGCGGCCGGGGCCGACGGGTCCAAGCCGGTTAAGAAGTTCAAGAAGATCAAGGCGACCAAGGAGCTGGAGAAGGGCAAGTCCAACTGGCAGGACTTCAACAACAAGTCCAAGTTTGGCAAGTCGCAGAAGAAGGACAGCATGTTCCGAACACCCGAGGGCGTCCATGGACGGGGTAAGCGCGGGTTCCTAGAGGCTTCTTCTGTCTGCTTTCCCTCAGTGACGTTTTGCTAACCTCTTTCTTGTCGTCAAATTAGTTGGATTTACTGGATCCGGCCAGGCTATGCGCAAAGATCCCAGCCGCAGCCGTCATATCTACCAACCAAATGAGGACCTCGACTAATTTGGAGCTTGTGATCAGACGCTGCCTTGGCTGGCGATAACTCGTCGGAGATATCCACACGAGAGATCCGACATCTCTTCGAGAAGACGGCGCCTCGACCTCCAGATATGACGAAGCGATCCTCGGCCGTTGCTTCGATTATTGCTTGCTGCACGCGGCTTTGGACCTGTCATCGGTGTTGGGCGTTTTTACGGGTTGGCGGGATCGGGTTTGATGTCTGGAATGATACACATGGTAACGCGCAACCTCGAGTTCTTGGGACCGGCGGCTAACTTGAGAGCTAGGGCTGAGCGTGCCTCTTGGGGCCACGCCAGTTCTACAGCGCACGCGCTACGGCGCATTGCTTTCCTTGGCGGGGGTCCTTGGTGAGATTTAAATGTCTTGACTCGCCCGTCTCCCAGGGATCGGTATCAAGACGTTCTTTTGCTTTTGCTTTTTTTTTTGCTTTTTTTTGTTTATGATATTTTTGACAAGCGTGTTTAGACTTGCTAGTTGCTATCCAAAAGCATTTGCCTACTTACTCATCATTCTGGTGCTGCTCCACGTAGTTTTCATCGTATTTCAACTTTTGTTTTTTTTTGTCCTTGTTTGTACTCGTTATGTGCATGCATGTTCATCTTGAGCACCCACTCCGTCTTTGCCTTGCACCCCTGACCGATGCTACCATTATTTATGGAAGGATTTGACCTTCTCGATCTCGTCCCAGCTGCCCATGAAGATGCCGGACCTGTCATGGATATGCTCGGGGACGACTTCGAGCATGCGGATCATTTTGCTGTTAAGGGCCTGGCCGCCGGCTAGAGAGAGGGATTGGACATGTCAGCTTCTGGCACTCTTGGGCTGGAGGGAAAGGGGATAGGGGCAAAGAGGAGTGACGGGAGGTGACAAATGGAGCAAAAAAAAACAAAAAAAAAAACTTACCATTCTCAAAAACCATGGCCATCGGGGCGCACTCGTAGAGAATGCGCAGCTTGCCCTTAGGGCTCTTCTTGTCGGCCGGGTAGGCAAAGATGCCGCCGTAGAGCAGGGTCCGGTAGGCGTCGGCCACCATGCTGCCGATGTAGCGGGCGCTGTAGGGCTTGCCCGCGTCCCCGCCCTGGGGCTGCTTGAGCGACTCGAAGTAGCCCTTGACGTGGTCCTCCCAGTAGAGCGAGTTGCCCTCGTTGACCGAGTAGATGGCGCGGGCCTTGGGGATGCGCATGTCCGGGTGGGTGAGGATGAACTCGCCAAACGAGTTGTCGAGCGTGAAGCCGTTGACGCCGCCGCCGCGCATCGTCATGACGAGCTGGGCCGAGGCGCCGTACATGGTGAAGCCGGCGGCGAGCAGCTCGGTGCCGGGCTTGAGGATGTCCTCCTTGGTCCCGGTGCTGCCGTCGGCGAGCTTGTGGATGCCAAAGATGGTGCCGACCGACACGCCGGCGTCTAGGTTGGAGCTGCCGTCGATGGGGTCGCAGGCAACGGCGTAGCGCGCGTCGCCGTGGCCCTCGAAGAAGATGACATCCTCTTCCTCCTCGGACACGAGGAGGGCGCACTTGCCCGACGACCGCATGGCCTCGATGAAGATGTCGTTGCCGATCACGTCGAGCTTCTTCTGGTCGTCGCCCGTCGCGTTGGCCGCCCCGGCCAGCCCCGTCAGGTTGATGAGCGTGGCCCGCCGGATGTAGTAGGCGATGGCCTTGAAGGAGAACTGCAGGGCGTGGCAAAGCAATCTGGGCCGGCGGTGGGGGAGGGCTGTCAGTCTATTGCGTCCCAGCTGTGGTGCAAGCATCTTATCTTGACACTAAGGGACCAAGCAAACGTACGTGAAGTCTCCAGTGGCCTCCTTGTGCTTTGCCTGCTCCTCCGTCAAGAACCTGGTCAAGGTTACAATGTTGGTGTTGACCTTCTCAGGCATTGGGCCACCATTGCCGTTGCTCTCAGCCATGCTGGGCCGAGTTTAAAACCAGTACTAGTAGAAGAGATTGTAAAGGGATATAGAGAAAGAACAAGGACAACAGGGTGTCGTGAGGGAATACTAAGGTTTCACGGCAAAAAGGGATGTGAGAAGGGATCTCGGGACTGGCGAGATGTGAGGATCAAGAGACGACAAAAGTGGGACGGTCGAGAATGTGAAGGGCGGGGAGAAGGTCAAGAGGCCATCCGGAAGAGCGGCTTTGAGGGAGGGTCTCCCACTTATCAAGTAATCGCGCCGAACTCTCGGGACGATGGCTTGACCGCGGAGCCAAAAAGGTGCCCCGCATCAAAGGGGGCAGCTACGCGACGAGAATGCGGCTATTGAAGGCAGCCGGGCGCTCCAATGAAAGAGAGGGACCCCTCGAACGGCCTAGTCAGGTACATGTACCTTGGGATGTACCCAGCCAGCAGCTTCTCGCGGGGAACTCGGCGATTTGGGGGAAAGAGAAAAGACAGCAGAGCTCAGGTTCCGGACGAAGAGGATTTCCCGGGATGACGTACAGGGCCGTCTCCACCCGGCCAAGAGGCCTGGGCTTCGGCAATAGCCCGAACCCAGCCGTAGACCTCGTCCGGCGGCCGGGGGTAGGTTGGAAAGGGTATTCCCGCCTGTGACAAGGCAAAGATAGATGACCATCTGACCAGCCGTGACTCTCTTCGCCTCGGGCTATCAACAAACCAAACAAGAAACAAAGACGGAGCACGTGCCCCTGAGATGCTTGGCGTGACTCCTTCCTGACCAGGTACCAACACAGAGGCGGTCGACATGTACCCATGGCTGCTGCAGCGTGTAGGTAAGAGGAGCTGCGTGACGCTCATTTCACGAGCTGTCGGTGTAGCAAAAAGGTCCACTGGGAGGCGAGTGTTGAGGGTCATGTACCTAGTACCCAAGGTAGGTACGAGTAGCAAAAGGGCGGACAGGATATTGATGTTTTGGTGTTTGAGGGTGAAAATGTCACGAGAATGCCAAATCGGGAAAACGCGTCGAGCATGGACGGACAAAGACAAGCCCGGGCAGACAACGCAGCTCAGCTCAACTGCCCGACCGAATTCCCGACCGTGGCGGCCATTGAAATTCCAGGCCGACCAGCCGTTGAGACCCTGCCTACTTGCCTCCTACCGCCCCACCCGCCAGCATATGCACGGACCATTCCAGGAGGGAGAGGCAGCAGCGGCGCATATTTGAATGTTGCCGGGACGAACCTCGGCATGTGGCCTTGGTCTGGGGAATTTGCATGACGGGGGAGGCCGAAACGTCAGCCCCTGTTTGGCTCTGAGTCTGATGCTGCTGGTGCTGATGCCGATGCCCGTGATGCGCCCAGCAGTGGCAGCAGCAGTAGCAAAACGTGTTTTACTTGATACCTATCAAGTGAACTATTGGCCTTTGCCCTGACAAGACTTCGCACTGACAAGACATAGAACATTCCATCGCTTGTCGTCGACGGATTCCTGCATCGCTTGGTCCAATCCGATTCTGGCTGGAGGGGTAAACGGCCGAGCTCCCCTGATTGCGACAGCCCGCCCAGTACGACATACCCCGTAGCAGCAGCAGCATGCATGTGCTCCAAACCTTGGCACACCATTAATCCATCTCCAGTCCCGTCCGTCGGAACACTCCAACCGACGCTTGCTTTTGCGCGACGCGACCAACGACAGTTGAGAACAAGACAAAATAACCTTCTCTCCAACCCACGACGGCAACATAACCGACCGCCCTCTCTTTCGCATCAACAACAACATACAGCAACTCTATACTATTACCACCACCACCACCACCACCACCACCACACCGTCGCCACCATGGTCGCCGACGCGCTCATCTACCACCCTTCGGTGTCGCACTACCTCAAGTTCGTCGCGACCACGGTCGGCCGCGACAAGCTCCTGCGCACCATCCAGTACTTTGCCCGCTTCTACGCCTGGTACCTGCTGCGCACCAACGGCACCCCTGCCGTCGTCGCGCCCTGGGACGCCCTGAAGAAGCAGTTCGGCCTGGTGCGCAAGGTGATGCGCGTCGGCAAGAACATCGAGCACGTGCGCGCCGCCGCCGCCGCCGCCGACGCAAAGGCCGCCGACCCCGTCGTCCGCTACACCTCGATCGGCCGCCAGCTCGGCTACGCCGGCTACCTGACCTTCGACGCCGCCACCGTCCTCGACGCCGCCGGCGTCCGCCGCTCCCCGCGCGCCGCCCGCCTCCAGCGCGAGGCCTACCGCTTCTGGGCCATGGGCCTGCTCTGCAGCGTCTCGGCCCAGCTGTACGCCCTCTACCGCCTCAAGGAGCGCGAGGCCAGGGTCGACCGCAAGGAGGGCGAGGGCGTCGTTGAGGGGAAGAGGATCGCCCTGTTAGTTTTTTTTTTTTTNTTTTTTT